GTTGGTGAGTCGACCTTTCAGACTCACAATGGCTGTTCGAGGGACTCAATGAAGAATTGCCCTCATCAAGTGTGGTGGAGACGCACCCAACACGGTCTCTTCCTCTCCCCAGAATAGTCCTCGGCCGGCGGCACAGGAATCCGACACACACCGAAACCCGTCACTGTGCTACAAACCATCCTAACCAGACTGAGAGTTCCACACATCCCACCTGCACATGGAAATTCCGGTGTATTGCTCTGGAATGTGCAACTCTCCCTTATTGTGGTTACCTTATTCTGGAGAGTATTGGGTGCAAAACACGCACCAAAACAACATTTCATGGAATTTTCGTGAAAGTATCGAGTGAAATAAAATTCCCTGAAACACTACTTCATTTTTATGGAAAAATATGATCGAATGTGATTTTACTCCATATTTTTAACCTTAAAACCTTTCAAATTTTATTTTACACATTGTTACAGAAATTCAATTTTTTTTGCGTATTTCTGTTGCATTTTTTGTTTTTTGTGTAATAATGTTTTTTTAAAACTGTTTTGGGGCGTATTTTCTCTCCACTTTTCGTGTATATTCTATGAAGCGCATTGCAGGTCACGTGACCCAGTCCAAGCCATGTGACCGCAAACCAATGTCAAGTTGGCCAGAACATGTCATGCAACAGGACATGCAGTTCACGTGCACTCAATGAAGGTCGACTGACCTCACCCCGGGTAACGTGACCCACTCCAGGTCACGTGCTCCCGCCCCAGGCCACGTGGCTCAGTCCATATTACGTGACGCTACCAAGGCACTTGACTCCACCCAGGTCATGTAACCGCACTCCAGGCCACGTGGCCCAGTCTATATTACGTGAACCCACTCAGGTGCTAACCCTAAACCCTAACCTTCATGATAACCTTAATCCCAAACCTTTATCCCTGACGCGTGACATATTTAGGGGAAGCATAATATTAGGACAGCCCAATATAGGGGAATCCAATATCAGAGTAGCCCAATTTTGGGCAGCCAAACATAGGGATAGCCCAATATTGTTGTCCAATATATGGTTAGCTCAATTTTGGGGTAACCCAATATCAGGGAAGTCCAATGTCGGTGGAGACCAGTAACGGAGTAGCCCAATATCGAAGAAGTCCAATATCGGGGTAGACACTTATGGTGGTAGCCCAATCTATGGAAGAGCACAATATTGGGGGAGGGCAATATAGGGGGAACATAATATTTGGATAGCCCAATATCAGGGGAACCCAATATATTGTTAGTCCAATTATGGGTGAACCAAATATCGGGATAGCCCAATATCATCAAAGCCCAATATTGGGGGAGCCAATATCAGGGTAGCCCAATTTTGGATAAGTCACATATCGTGGTAGGCCAATATTGTGGTAGTCCAATATCAGGGTAGCCCAATTTTGTGTGTAGCCAAATATTGGGATAGCCTAACATCGGGGGACCCCAATATCCGGGAAGACCAATATCATGGTAGCCAAATATCGGCGTAGGCCAATATAGAGACAGCATAATATCAGGATAGCCCAATATCGGGGGAGCCCAATGTAGTGTTAACCAAATTATGTGCAAGACGAATATAGGGATAGCCCATTATCGGTCGGTGTAGCCCAATGTTCATACGGGTTGGTCACTATGGATTAGTATGGGTTGGTCCATCTGTACGTGTTGGTCAGTACGGGTCGCTCGGCCTGTATGGGTTGGCCCATACGGGTCGGTTGGTTCATACATGTCGGTTGAGATGGGTCTGTTGGTCCATGGAGTCCTGTAGCTCAGTGGTTAAAGCGCTTGTCTCGCAAGTGAGAGCTGGGTTCAATTCCTGGCAGGGAGAAATGTTGGGCAAGTTTCCTTTCTCCACACACCTCTGTTTACCCAGTAATCAATCGGCGGATCGCTTTTCCAGGGGTAATAATTTCTTCAAAAAACAATAATAAATTGGTCATTCAATCCATGACTGTTTGCGGGGACGCTGCTGTGCACAATTGGCTGATGTGTTTCGCCCACAAAATATTCAGTCAATTCACTTTACAGTGTATCCTGTGAAGCGTTTTGAGATGTCTCAAAGATGTGATAAGCAATTGTATCAAATGCAAGGATTATTATTATTAATAATAAACATGTTTCACCTGCTCAGTATTGTGTACGAGTCTCCAGGAAGATCGTAGATAAAACACTAGGGAGTTGCCATACCTTGTGATCTGGTTGTGTGATATGGCACTGGGGACAGTCTCCTGATGGTGGGGGAGTAGCCGATCGGGAATACCTGTCATCGTGTGGCTCCGAAACAGTCAAAATATTCGAGAGTGGGAATTTCACTCACAGAGCTGTGAGTTAATACAGAGGCCATCCAGTTACTGACACCTGGAGGGGCGAGAACCATCAAAGACGTCCTCCTGAATTGACAGGCGCTGTATAGAACATAATAGGAGCAGGAGTAGGCCATTCGGCCCCTCGAGCCTGTGCCCCACTACTTAATAGGCTCATGGCTGATCTTCTAACCTAATTCCATTTACCCGCCTTCTGCCCGTATCCCTTTAGTTTACATATAACTGTTGTTGTTAATCCGGACAGGCTGTCGCGCTGGTCACGTCACTCGTGCCTTCTGTGTCTCGAGCGGCTCTTGGAGGGAGATGGGAGGGGTAAATTGATTATTGATTGAGAGCAGACTCCAGCCATTCACAAGCAGCTCTGGGCTGTCAATCAGTGAGGGGGTGGGGGAGGTGGGGTGGAGTAACGGAGAAGAAACAAGGGTGGAAATGGAGGACAAATCACAATTGACTGACACGTCATTCTGCTTGCCGCCATTTTAATTATAAACACGTGCGCAGCTGCATTCGAAATCCCAATCAACGTCATCCTCTCCCACCGCGCGCAACAAACACCTGGAATGTCCAAGTAAGTGTGTGTCACACTCACTCCCCCAGGAGATGGAAATGTTAGACAGAATCAAGCAGCAGCCGCCCAAGACTCCGCTGTGGACACGGGCTGTGACCTCATCACCAAAGAGCAGAAGCTGCATCACACAAACACCCGTGGACCACCTTAGCTCACGGCCATGAGGGTCTCCTTAAGAAGAGGGGACAAGATGCTGATGTGGAACAGCTCTTCTGATGTCACCTCATGAAAACTAAACCTCACACCTCAACACTCCATCATTATCACACCTCACTTTCAGTATTCTTTTTGAATAAGCTGCATATCAACGCAGATTTTAAAGGGGCAAAAGGGAATTCATTTGGTGGTGGCACTTTAGATAAGTCATAATGACTAATCATATCTCAAGAGACAGAAGGTATATTTTGTTCAGGAAGAAAACACGAATTATGAACTTTCTTGGAAGAAACATTAAAAAGTAGGAAAAATCCACTGGGCCCAGATTCTACTATTTAGAGACTTGCACACATTTCAGATGACATAGAGTAGCAGATCTATTGATTTTGCTATCAAATGTTAATGGTACTGGCAATTGAAATGTTATAATTGTGACTTTAAAATCACAATTTTAACATTTCAATTGCCAGTACCATGAACCTTCACTTGGGATTAATCTGCATGGCATGCAGTGTCTTCCTTCATCAAATCTGGCAGAATAAGATAATATAAAGTTACGGAACAGAAATTGAGGAATCCTTCTCTCCCCCAGAAAAAAATATTTGGGTTTAAGTGTTTCAGCGATGACATTTCTTCCTTAACACCTCAATTTGGAATATATTCTCTTCAGTGTTAATATTGGCAGCTTGGTGCTAACTGTGCAATTTTAAAATCATGGAACAATTTATTTTCGAATCCAATATTTTACATAAATAGAACAAGTAGAGAATGGATAAAGGCCCAGAAAGATAAATAATCTTTAAAAAATAAAGTAGATAAAGCTATCAAACCAAACACCAACCCTACACCTGTACGCTATTGTTAGCCACCCAAGGTAAGCAAAAAAAACAGAACAAAAAGCTCCAAGGCTGATTGAAGGGTGAAAGGAAGAATTCTTTGGACTCCAAAAAGCAGTCAAGGAAGCTTCAGGAGAGACCATCATTGCCACCACCACCAATGCAAAAGCCTATTAACTCCTAGTCAAAAATCTGTCCAGACTTCTCTTGAATGAGAAAATGTTATTTGCAAACAGATTCACTTGGGTACCTGCTCCAGCTGTAAGGATAAGTGCTTCTTTATGTCCAAAGAAGTGAATTTTCTCCAGCTTGAGAACACAAATTGCAATTGACTATGAGGCTCTTGCTGTCTGTCATTGGCGATTCTTTGTAGAAAGCAAGTCTCCTCTACTGCAATATAAATTATGCACAGTTTGTTAAACCTTTCACTGAGGGGGTGCCTGTAATGCACAGATTCAACTTGCGAGCCCTTGTCCGCAATTTCTCCAGTGATTGCATCTTGGGACATCATCCCAATATAACAGACTAAATATAAATACAAGTTGTTGTTGATTTCATAGCCCTTAGCAGATTTAGTTCCCAGAAATGGACATAATGAACACCACAGGGCACCAATTACATATAAGTTAATTGGCGAGATGATACTTTAAAAAAAACTTCTAATATCCATTGGTTTAATAAGAGGCACTTCAGCGATTTAAGTTGATTTCTCAAACTTTTGCATATAACAAATGAGGAAGGATTGTGTGAAAGGAACCCTTTAGTTTCAGTTATGAGATCGTAATTCTTTCAAAGATCCAACAGCCACCTCAAAATTGTCTGTGTGCACAAAGGATATTCTTTTGAGTGCAACACTCTTCTGCTAAAAAAACAACTTGTGCCAACCATCCCTTCAACACTTGTGTTCATTCACAACATGGCATTCCCTGAGTACAATGTGGCATTCACTGTGTACAATGAAATAATTGAGGGGAAATGGCACTGAAACTTTGCACAACGGGTCTCGTCTCATTAAATTTCAGATAAACAGCAGTTTACTTTTATTTTTCAACTTACACGGCTTGTTTTTATTTAGTTTTAAAGTGAAAAGATAATAATGAGTCATTGTTTTAAATATTCTCTTTATGTATTTACAAGCTTTGAGCAGCTGGATAGTTTGTATAGTTTGAAAGTATTACAAGAACTTTCCGTGGATTAAATTGTTGTTTGTACAAGTTCTCCGTGTTCTGCAGTTCATAATGTACGGTTTGGAAGTTTGGGGAAAAACATCCTCTTCTGGTTGAATGTTTATGTACATTTCTAGAGCAAGCTGAAGCAGGTAGGAAGAATTACTGGCACATGTACTACTGTCAGCCATCATTGTTACCCCCACCCAAATACTAAATTCCACTGCCCTACCTTTGTTTGAAATAGCCTTGTGGGCAAGAGTTGGGTCTGTTTCCTCTATGTTACATTCTGTTTACAGTAACTGCAAACTCAAAATTACATCACCTTTGCAGTTCTAAAAATAAATTAAAGTGTTCAATTTTTTTTTATTTTTTTGCACAGAGAATGGAACCATCTGTCCTTTTAAAAATAACAAAAAACGTAAAATTTAAAACAAAAATATTTTCTATAAATAATACATTTTAGTGCTCCCACCCATGGTTCTTTAAACATCGCTGCAGCTTTTTTTTTTTACGTGCGTGTACCATAATTTTCATCATGATCGCTGACTGTATATCCGTGCAGATTTGTTGCGATGATTGGCCCTTTTGCACTTTGATTGGCGAAGACGTTCTTTTTCTAGTTATCTTCTGACTCTTCCTCAGCTTCTCTTAGCCACGTAAAAAATGCCGTGACAGATTTTAGCGCTACTCCTTTGCCGTTCTGCTCCGCGGGGTCTTTGCTACTTTCCCACTTGTAGAATGCATCTTCAGATATCACATCCTCGTCATACAAAGTGTCAAAGAACATCCTTAACAGGTCTGCATTTTGAGGTGGAAACAGAATGTGTTAGATTAAATTCACGTTAAACACCAAACCTTCACAAATAAACTTTATTTTGTCGGGAGATAGAGCAAAAGAAATTTTACTAACCGAGGAAATGTGACCAAACAAGACTTGGCAGAGATCCTAAACATTTACTAAGAATTAGAGTAGTAGTTTATAAAGAACAGGTGGAATCAGCTTGTATGGTCAATGCTTTGGGAATTTTACATTCCAGCGTCAGTAATTTGTGTAAAGCAGTTAAGTTTCTAAATCAGAAATTTACTGTTACTAATTTCAAATGCGACTATTTAACAACAACAAAATTACATTTGTATAGCGCCTTTCACGTCAGTAGGATGTCCCAAAGCGCTGGGAAACACTATAACTAGTCGAGTAACTAACTTAGTAAAGTAAATATTATAGTAAAAAATTATTGTTACAAAACTCACAGGTTTAGTTATCCTTTATGAAAAGCCATTCTGCATATAGAATACTTACTAGGAGGTTGATCAAGTTTTACTATCAATGCCTGTAGTGCATAAAGTGCTTGTAATTCTCTTTCAGTATCAGAGTTAAGGTATTTGAGTAACAATCGCAATCTTTGCTGTATAATGTTTGCATCTACTCGACTTGGAGGCCCTTCTCCTAGAGAAAAAGAAAAAGATTTGAACAAAATAAAGAAAGGAAACATCAACTATCTTTCAAACAATTGCAATTAAGATCAAAAGTAGTCATTATAATAAGATATACTGTAAAGTGAATCGACTATATTTTATGGGCGAAACACGGCAGCCAACCTGGTAAGCTTTAATTTTGATGAGCTGCTCAGGTTTACTTTTTTTGCACAAGTTTAATTTATATTTTAACGAAGGGAATTTCCGAGGAAATCTGAGTAGTATGCTTGGAAGTAACTTTGCAGTTTCAAGCAGCAAATCCACACGCATAAATGACATGTTCCTTTTAAGATTAACGAACCACTTTCCTTGGCATATTCCTCAATTGTCTTATGAAATTTAAAAATGTTTTTGGTACAAATTCTATTTGAATCTGTTCAGCAAAACACAATCCTGCTGAATTTCATTCAAATAAAATTCATAAACTTAACAGAAGTTTTTTTTAACAATAAAATACATTTTTCAGCAATGAAGCAGGAAGGTTGAAATGCAGTCTTGTTTGAAGTGCAGTTGGGGTGGGTAAAGTATAAGAACAAATATTCTGTGAAACTTGAAACTGTGCTGCTCACGATACATCACTTTCTCTGATCTTTATCCCAAGAGCAAACACCAGCCTGTTTCACATCCCCTTCCCACCAATTATTCTCATTTTATCTACGCTCAATTCATAACCCATTCCAACACAATATCTTAGTTTCATGTGATGGTTACTGTATGGAACCAGGGGCAAAAGCTTCATGCTAGTTAGCAGCTATGGCTACTGTAAACCAATTAGTTACACACTAAAATTTTCACATTAGCTGTAATTGTCCATGCTTTCCCACGCGTACAACATTTTGCTGCTCAGTTACAAAGTAGGATTTCTGCTCAACTTCTCAACCGCTTTGGTCTCACCTTCACTCAGCTTAAGATCTGTTTGGTCACTTCATCCCACTACAAAGATGAGATAGATAGCCTATTCACAGGCCAGTGTTCTACCTACAAAGTGCCTCTCCCTTGCCACCCACATGGCTCAATTGGGAAGCAGAGGATTTGATAACTTACCAATTCAGGTTGCCTCCTAGGCTTCACATGTAAGAGCATTACTTTCACCCTATTAACAGTTGTCATTTGCATCCTTTCAGTTAATACTCTGTATCTCTATCAGTTTTATGTTAAACTTTCTGTGATGCAGTTAAAGTTTTGATTCCATATCACAGATCATGCATTTAAAACATTTGAGTAGCTCATTAATCAACAACAACAACTTGCATTTATATAGTACCCTTCACACAGGGTAGCATCTCGGAGAGCTTCAGATCTTACATGATTTGTAAACTCATGGCACCTACGATGAGCAAGTTAAAATACACAAAATCCTTACTTATTGGTACAAATCAGTTATAATTATAAACAATCAATCTGCTTTTATAAACTTGGAACTCTTCTTTCCAGTTCTATGGCCTTACAAAAGACTCATGTATCACATCCAGTATTTTCAAGTCTATTACTATTTTACAACTGTCTTCCATTCAGGAATCTACTTCACACAAATCTCTTACTGAATTCAGTGAATAAATAGCAAGTTTTTTTTAATTAAGTGCAAATATTTGGTAGATTTTTAAAAATATATACAAATAATTTAGAAGAACTTTTGTAATCTTAAGAGGCTGATGACAACTTTGTTACCTGTAATAGCTGACCTACATACTGTTGTCATTAAAGCCCTAAGGAAGGTAGATGAACCAATCTGTGATTCATCCAAGTTAGCCTACAAGGAAAAAAAGAAATAATTTTAGAATTGGTAACACGACTTCTAGATCAAGTTAATCATACTACAGGCACAGTATCACATCCTCAATCCTCAGCTTGAGCATAAGCCTACAGAGTAGAATACAGACACTTCAGAACAAAAGCAGGCAGGTATTTTATCATGGAATTCAGTGTCAAATGCATTTCTAGTCTTGTTAGAATTCAGCTCTCCTGATAGTCAAGTGGGTAAAAGCACTGCCCAAACCACTTAGCCTAGGTCTCAGGTCCAGTTTTCAGCCTTTACTGAAATCTTAGGGGACATAGCATTTGGGGCTACCAATTATTGTTGGTTAATTAGCAAAGGGGAGGGTGGGTGGGGGTGGGAGAGAGGGAATCAAGAACACCCATTTCTGATTGGTAATTAGTAACTCCTGATGGAATCGGCATCGTCAATATGAAGCAAAAATGGGATTGGGCTTAACTATTGAATAGGCTGTGCCAAACATCATAAACTACCTTCACACATAAAATAATTAATATTTAGCCCAGTACAGAGGGAGCCATGGCCATGTGGCTCTACACCAATCAAGCCCTTCAGGGAAGGGAAGAGAACCTTGATGAATAAAAGAACTGAGAGGACTTGAGGTGTGAAGTTACCTTTGTGATGCAAGAAAGTTCTCTCTTTTTTAAACAGCAGAATTCTAAGGTATCAGCTATAGAACAATTCACTCTTTGAATAAAAACTCAACATTGTATTAAAGAACTGAAAATCTAAGGTCCCGTAAAAGCAACTGTGAAAATCATTCAGAGACCAATGCAGCATAATTGTAAGATGTCAATGTTGTTGTAAATTAAACGAGGCCAGACTCCAAAATGGGGTCCCAATTAGTGTTCCAGCTCGTTTGGCAATAATGTTTGAGCTATTTTGTAACGCTGTAATTTAAATAAATCAGCCGTTTCTACTGGTCAGCTGTTTGGGAAAGTTTTGCTACAGAATCATGTATTAAGTGTCACAATCTCATTGGCCAATTTAGATCAATCAAGTGATCGAGGAGAGATTGCTTCTTTCTAAAATCATATTTAAATGCATTGAGATTATAAATCAGCCCTTTATTCAACAGAAATTGAGTTAGTGTAGAAACAGGGGCAACCGTGTCATAGTCCACAACAAGGTGACAAGTTGCAGGAATATGACTTACTCGTTTTCAATAACAAAAAGGATAGCAACCCCATCAATACATTTGAAATATAACATTTTAATAATACATGTGCATACAGTCTTATTAGACCTTATACACATTGGTCACATTAGATCCTGTACTAAAATAATTATTCCCACAAATACACATGAATTCTAGTACAAGTCAAAGGAAACTTTGGCTCTGTGGGAAATGGTGAATGAATTATTTTATTCACGGCCTTGTTTAAATCACATTGCCCTTATTACTATCACCGATAAAAGAAATTAGAGCAATTTAATTTTACAGATTAAAACATTAACCTACTTCTACCCAGTCAAAGATTTGCTCATTGCTAGCCTTGTCTTCGATTATGAGTTTCTCTAGCCATTTGTTCAGTTCTTCAGCGGAGAGCTCCTGTTTTGAAAGTGCTTCAGTAGGACTAGATGCATCTGATACTGTAAACTCCAATTTCTGCAAACGAATTATGATTATAGTGTTAATATTTACAAAGCCATAAATTCATGTAAAGGTTATGTAACACCATCACAAAGAAAAACAATGCCAACCAAGCGTATATATGGTTTTACTACTCCTACCTTACCCGCTGGAGTACTAGTTAGAGTTAATTCAGCACCTGGGAGACCAAGGAGAATTTGAACCTGGATACTTACAGTCCAAAGTATAGGAACCGGGCTACCACAAACGAAGCAAAATAGACATATCAAATTAACAACTTAATTAATTTCTAATGTAATCTGCACCTACTTCCACTATTTGATTGGGAAACTCTGAGAAACTACCAAAGCTATCCTCTTCTTGAGAATTCATTTTTACTCAAATCAACTCTTAAGGATCAGACACAACTTTATTGCTACATCACGACTGCTCCTGCCGGTCCAACAAAGGACAATTTTTTAAAAACAATACAGAACAGAGGATGCGGAGGTTCTAGAAGCCACGTTTGAAACATTACACGATGCTGAGAGCCGGTGTAGCCAAAGCACTGACATCACCAAAGGCAGCCCTTTGGGGGTTAAAGATAAAGGGAACACAACACAATGTAGAATGACATGCAGATATGTTCTGAGTCACGAAAATGCTGGTTAAGAGTGAATGGCTACCAGGTTAGCAGCAACACCACAGTTTTAATCTATTAAACCAGTACCATTGAAAGTAATGACATTTACTCACCTTCTCACTAATGAAATTCTGGACATCCTCTCCTTCAGGTAGGAAATCCTTCCAATTTAACTCAGTCTCTTTCCATAAGGCCCCAACTTTCTTATGGCTCTACAAAGGAAACAGATGACTAAGAAGCTGCTTTACCAAACATTAGTATTAACATTCAACTAATTTGAACATTGTTTTATTTCAAAAAATACATCAGGTTGATTTTTATTTGAATTATAGATTTGAAAATGTGTACTGGATACTGCATCATCTTTTATGAAATGATTCTCCCCTCACTGTTATTTTTGCATTTTGTCTGGTTCTCTCTTCCATGCCACACTTTCAAACCTGGGAACCAGAGAGCTGTCTGCTTTCAATTGGCTGTCCAGTTGGTGAAACACTCTCCCAATTAGCATGTGTCTCCTGGTGCAGCACAGGACTTGTCCAACACTTTCTAGAGAGATTTAGCTCAGAGCAATCACAAATAGCCACAATTCTAAATCGTATAGATGAGCCAGACAAGGAGTCAACTATCAACAGTGCCACAGGTTACTGTGCACATAACCTAGTTTTTGTCAAGCATGTTTCCTTGGAGCAAAAATTACTTTTTCCCCACTCCAATAGATTGTAAGACATTGCACTCATTTTATTCACCTGCAAGGGGTGAATGGTTTACCCCAAAAAATCTTTCCGATCTCAAATCTTCACTCATGGTGTAACAGCAACTGACTCATGAGCTATTCCCTGGTGCCAGTGAAGGGTTATGGAAGCCAATCCGATAACAACTTTCAAGAGAGTAGTAGATAGATATTCGGGGAGAACAAATTTGGGGAGAGTGTGGGGAATTGGATACTGGGAATTGGATAGCTCTTTTAAAGAGCCGGCACAGACAGATGGGCCGAATGGCCTCCTTCTGTGCTGTACAATTGCATAATTCTATGTCCTACTAGCTTTGTGCAGCATGTTGAGGATAGAACAAACCATCGGATAGAACAAAAGAAACCTTCATTAATAACTCCATCACCAGACTCAAGTCATTGTCCTATGAATATATATTGATGCGCTTCACCAATTAGCCAAACCCGTTTTCATAAAGTGGCCTCTGAGTCCGGGTTTGCTGGTGTGCTGACTGGGCCTGAACATTTTTTAAACGTTTGTCCGCAAGTCAAAAAAAAAGTGTGGCCACTGGCAGGTGGTTGCTGAATAGAGATGGTCACTTTAGAACAGTTTGCCTGGAGTTACAGCACTACCAATATACAACATGTGATGTTTCTACCCACCATTTGTTTGCATAGAAGGTGCAAAACTTCTGAAAGCAGAACCCCTGCTCTCTCCACAGGAAGTAAAGGTTTGCTAAACTCTCTGCAAGAAATGGGGAAAAATGAGTTATTTGCAATCTGGAGTTGCCATTAGGACACACTTGTTCAAGAAGCTGAGGTTCATGACATCAATTTCACACAAGACTAAATAGGTAATTAGTAATCAAACATTTATGGTTGAACTATACAGAGCCTTGGTCAGATCCCATCTGGAGACTGCATTCAGTTTTGGCACCGCACCTCAGGAAGGATATATATATATACATTGGGGCTGGAGGGGGTGCAGCACAGATTCACCAGAATACCAGGGCTTAAATTACGAGGACAGTTTGCATAAACTTGGTCTGTATTTCCTTGAGTTTAGAAGGGGTGATCTGATTGAGGTCTTCAAAATGAAGGGATTTGACAGGGTAGATACAGAGAAACTATTTCCACTGGTGGAGGAATCCAGAACAAGGGGCATCATCTTAGGGCTGTGGATGCTGTGATCTATTACAATTTCAAGATGGAGGTAGACAGATATTTGTTAGGTCAGGGTATTAAAGGATGTGGGACAAGGGCAGGTAACTGGATTTGAGTTACAAATCAACCATGATCTTATAAAATATTGGAACAGGCTTGAGGGGCTGAAATAGCCAACTCCTGTTTCTATGAACTCGCTATGTCATGTGAATTTTTTTGGATCCAAACAGAAATGCAATTCTTTTGATCCTGATAAACTGAAGATAAAAATACTCTCATCTATCGTAGCATATGACACACGCTGCCAAAAAATGAGTACTCAGTTGAATGCACATGAAAATCTCTGGATAATAATCTCTGGATTGTTTTGGTGAAACTAAATAAGTAAAACAAATACCTTCCCCGAAAAACACAATTTCTCCAACTTTGTTCGGGGGATTTGGAATGTGTAAGCATTAGGGTCCCACTGATTTGACACAAATTGTGAGCTCACAACCTTAGAAACCTGCAATGGTACAAAGAACCTACATACATTGTTGTTTGAAAGCATGTCCTTTGCAGCAGAATTACTTGGCGCTAGAATTTTTGTTGGCAGTGATATACAAATGTTAACATATCTTTATCACCCCTCCAATTTTCTTTCTTTGACATGAAAAATATCTGTGCTTTTATATTGAAGATAAAGAGACCTTAACGGTCCTTATATGTGTAGAATACAATCCCTGATCTCCTCACCAGAATAGAGGCAGTGCACACAAACTTTTTTTTAAAATCAATGAACTACAAAATAAGCCTATGAATGTGAATCTGATTGAGATTTTTTTAAAAAGGGAATAAAATAATGAAATGAAAATAGGTAATTGTGAAAAAGCATTAGGTACAATTATACACTGAGGAATTCAAGCCCAAATTAACCACAGGTTCTTAACACAGGACAACCCTGTCATAAAGCCCCACCAGCCAACTCTGCTAGGCTTAGTCCTGCACATTCAAGCTTCCCGCATTGATTAGCTGGTTTCCCACACCAACAATGGGATAACTTCCTGCTGCTCCACTTTGTACATGAAGTGCCAGAGGTCCATGCACATAGGACTCAAGAAGTGATGTCCAAGTCTGACATACTGGGAAATACAGCATAGATTTGCAAGGGTGTTACCATGAAGTAGTGGATACCACCATGAAGAAACATTGGCCTATTCCTCTGCCTATTGTTCTGGGTTCTTCACTTACAGTGTAACCTCAGATATTAGACCCAGGCAATAGTATTATAATGGGGTTCTCCTACATATAGCTTTATGCCATAGATGGTTTATGGAACTAGAAGGTACAGTGAACATCAATTGCATTGAGGTATTCTGAAAGGAAATCAATATAATGCTAATTTAGAGACACAAACTTGCAGTAAGAAAAGGGTCTGAGAAGGAGGCTGTGGCTGAATCTCTTGCTGATAAAGTACATTGTCTCTCTCAGTCTTGCACAATGTATTTGATTCCCTCAAGTGGAGTCAATGCTACTTGTTGAAATGATTAGCAAGGCTACAGTCTCCCAACAAATGTTAAAAGCTTCAGCTTCTTTCATCAGCAGAATAAGCATTTCATTTCAGCAGGCGCAAGCTGTCTTTACATTTAGATTTTTTGAAAACTCGCATTTAGGTTATTTTCATAAAAAATGGGTGATTCAACAAACTAAATATAGGGTTTCCAATAATGAAAAACGGAATTAAATAGCTACCAAAATAAAATGGCAATGGTACAAAATAAAATTTTGTATAAAATAAAAGGCTGATTCAGTTTCATATTATTACATTATGCCTTATCAAGCACAAATCAAGCTGAATTACTTAAGGATTCCTTACGTAAATAATTCTCTCATAGAGATTCCGCTTTCTTGTAACATGGGGGTTACAAGCTCACCCAAGTACAACCATATATGTGGTATGTCAATGGCCATATCTTCTGCCAGTTCTAACAGCTCTAAGAACCTGAGAACAAAACAAATTGATATCACGTATTAGCAAGCAAGTACAATTCAGGAACTTCATGGTTTGACAAGTTGCAGAGCAACTATTTTTTAAAAAAAATCTGATATGTGAAATCTTCTCTAATCCTTATCCGAATCCCTCTGAACCTAAACTGATGACAATGGTTCCTGAAACAACAACAACAAAATTACATTTATATAGCGCCTTTCATGTCCCAAGGCGCTGGCCACAGAGTTTCGGACCCGAGCTGGGGGTCAGGATCGGGGAGGGTGGAGGGTAGGTGGGGTTGAAGCAGGGAGATCGAAAGCACGGTCGAAGAGGAGGGTCTTGAAGGGGCAAGGGAGGGGACGAGGTGGAGGGACTGCGGGATAGAGTTCCAGAGGGTGGAGGCAGAGTGGTTGAAAGCTCACCTGCCAATGGTGGGGCGGGCGAGGTAGGGGACTTGAAACAGGCTGGAGCCCGCTGAGAGGAGGGAGCGGGCAGGATGGTAGGGGGTTAGGAGGTCTCAGAGGGAGGAGTTGGGGAGGCCGACAAGCAGGGAGTTTGCATAGCCAAGCCTCGATGTAATGAAAGCGTGTATGAGGGTTTCGGTGGCCTGCGGAATCAGACAGTGGTGGAACTGGGCGATGTTGAGGAGGTGGGGAAGGCAGAGCGGGTCATGGCACACATCTGGGGTTGAAAGGATAGTTGAGGAGCCTCAAGGTTGCGGACTGCCTTAGCAAGGTGGAGTGTGCAATCATGGATAGTGATGCTGTCAGTGCCTGAGGTGTGGAGGTGCCAATCAGGAGAGCCTCGGTCTTGTTGACGTTCAACTGTAGAAAGTTAGCTCTCATCCAGGACTTGATGTCAGACATTCTGTCAGGACAGCAGTGGGTCCTGGAGTCAAGGGTGGAGGCAGAGAGATAGAGTTGGGTGTCATCCGCACACATGTGGAAGTTGACCCCATGTCTGCGGATGATGTCACCAAGAGGGAGCATATAGATGTTGAAGAGAAGGGGACCAAGGACAGAGCCCTGAGGAACACTGCACAAGACAATGCGGGCGCTAGAGAAGCCATTGCTAAGCCATTTGAGGAGATGAAGTGCAGGCAGTGTGATCTGAACCAGTCAAGGACAGTGCTGTGGAGGTTGAGGTGAGAGGAGAGGCGGTGGATGAGGATAGAGTGGTCTACGGTGCCAAAGGCAGCAGAGAGGTCAAGGAGGACGAGGAGGCAGAGGGAGCCCTGGTTGCAGATGGACAGAATGTCATTTGTCGCTTTGACCAGGGCAGTTTCTGTGCTGTGGGCGGCATAGAAACCCGATTGGAGGGATTCGTGAAGGGAGTGGCAGGCGAGGAAGGAGCGAAGCTGGGAAGCAACAACTCGCTCCAGGACCTTGGACAGGGAAGGGAGGTTGGAGATGGGGCGGTAGTTTGAAAGCCAGGTAACAGGAAAACAAACAGGTAAGGTGTACAAGAGGTTCAAACCGCGCACAGGGGACTTCCATTTTAACCTGGATTTGAAGCTAAAAATAAATGCTTGCACCTATAAATGGATGTTATTGCACGTAAATGTGCCTTAAAGGGCTTTTCAGAGTTTGTAAAGGTAATGACTGCTTATATAGGTAAATGGTGTAGCCAATTTGTGCAGAGCAAAGTCTTACAAAATGAAGTGAATGACCAATTTTATCCCGGCATTTATTGTTGGCCAGGATACTGGACAAATTCACTTTTCTCTTTAAATAGTGTCATGGGATTTTTAACATCCAGCTTAACAGGCAGACAGGATCTTGCTTAATATAGAATCACAGTATTATACAGCACAGAAGGAGGCCATTTGGCCATCGTGTCTGTTCCGACTCTTTGAAAAGAGCTGTCCAAATCAATCCCACTCCCCCGCTCTCTCCCCCCACAGCCCTGCAAACCTGTCCTCCCCAAATAATTAGCTACTTCTCTTTTAAAAGGAGAATAATCCTACTTGTCCTCATAAGTCCCTTATTCCTGGTAAATTTCCTTTGCACCCTCTCCAATCCCTTGACATCCTTCCCGAAGTATGGTTCCCAGAAATGAACACAGTCTCGAGCTGAAGCCAAACCAGTGTTTTATAAAAGGTTCATCATAACTTCTTCACTTGTATTTTCTGCTGATATTTATAAAGCCTGGTATCCCACTTTTTTTTAACAGCTTTATCCACTTCAAAGGTTTACTATACAAACTCCCAGGTCTCTCTGTTCCTTCACCCCCTTATAACTGTACCATCAGCTTACATTGCCACTCCTCATTCTTTCTCCCAAAATGCATTACTTCACATTTCTCCACTCAAACTTCGTCTGCCACCTGTCCGCCCATTTTATCATCTGTCTGGGGTTTGAACCCACAACCTTTGGTTCTAGCAGCCGAGCCAATATGAAGATGAGACTTTTTATGAACCAACTACATCAGTGCAGCTTCTTTAATTTAGGTAGCTCTAAATTAATAGTGGATTGGGGATCATGTAATAGGAATGATGAATCTACTCGTATCTGCAGAATATTAGGGGAAAGTAGATAGGTACATAGGTCATTTGGGACATGTATGCAAGCGACCGCCAGGATGGTGAAAGGCGAACTAGATCGACCTTGGTCTTTTGTTCGCCCAGCATTTCTTATGTTCTTATGTAGATAGCCTTCTGCTTCAGATACCAGACATGTACTCAAGTGTGAAAAAAATGGATTGCCACATTAAAGGTAATCAAGCATTTTAGATTTTGTACACTTTCCAATGCTACTTCATTTTCAGAGCTGCTGTGTTCTTAGTATTGGATTTATTTTATTCTGTATGAGAAAAGATTTGCATTGCACACACCCTTTGAAGAATTCCTCTTTGGGTAACTTTCCTGACTGAACAAGCTGGTAGAAAAGCTGACCCATGTGCTCTCTGGTTATCTGACTTCTCTCTAATGTGGACTCCACACCAACTCTTACAAAGACATGGAGCAGGCTTAGTGAATTCAACTCCTCCACGCACTGTACTGCCTCCTGCAAACAGAAAGAGAATCCAATGCTAAGCAAATGGGCTGGATGCGAATATCATTATGGCTTTAAACATTATTCCTAAGGAGCGAGAGGTCAAAGTCCACGTGCATGCTCTTAGCACCCCTCCACCCCCCATGTAAAAGCAGCAATTCTAAATATAAAAGCTTCACCGTGGACTTTCTTCTCTTCTATACTATACATTCTCATGTTTAGTGCATGTAATGTAAATTTAACAGGAATGATGAAGAAGATACCAAATGTTCCTATAAAACTAAAACCAATTATTTAGTGGTTCAGCTGTGATCACAGCAGCAAGACACCTCTTGCTCTGAGGTGCAGCTCACCTCACAGCTCAGTTGAGAATGGAGCAACAACCAATGAGGGCCTTCCCACTGACATCGTAAACATTAACACTGAATGAAATTTGCAAGCAAACAGAAAACACCAATGCTCTTCTTCTGTAACGACCAGTTATTGCAAAGCAGTATGTTATAGAAATTAAATCTGTATGTAAACTATTGCTGAAACCTCACTGTATAAAATATGACTCAAATATTAGATATCTTTAGGCATTACAATCAGCATTGTACATGGGTTATTTAATGATTTAATTCAAATCCACACCTTATAATCAGTAATGTGCAAAAACTCATCAATAATGGATTTAGACTTTTTCTCCATCTCGTCTTCAGAGAAAGCCGATTTCGGGGAGTCACCAGAAGGAGGAAGGTCTGGTTTCACTGTTTGGAGGAAAAAAAACAATCATTAGCAGTGTGTTAGGATTTAGTAGACCCCTCCCTCCCCAGGACTGATGAATAATTTGAAATATGGTAAACTTTCAGCTTCTGTGTTCAACAATTACACCAAACACATCATCTGTGTGAGGTTCACCTCTCACATAAAAACACATAGCGCTGTAATGCCTCGCTTACTTGGTCAGAATTAAGAAAATTCCGAGATGAATATGAAGCGGTTTGAAATTTTTCAAATGGAAACTTCTAAACTGGTTCAAAAATGAAGTCCCATTTTGATATCTTGAGATGTTGGTTAATGGGCTTACAATTGAAAGGAGCCTTCCCAACCTCACCAGTTCCCAACCTCACGAGTTGGCTGATTGCCGTAGGGCGCTTTTCGGAGTGTAAATTTGGTCACTCAATCAATCTACGGCTATTTGTGGGACGCTACTGTGAACAACTGGCTGCCACTTTCGCCCACAAAATATACAGCCAATTCACTTTACACTATATTCTGCTTAGAGACGTCTCAACGACGTGATAAGGCACTATATCAAATGCTTAGGTTATTATATTTATTACAGATAATAACACTCATATCAACAAGTAGAGAGGCCTTGGTTTAACATCACATATTATTATTAACTGCTCCAGTAGCTGTGGACTTTCTTTGGCACTTTTTTTTCAAATAAAAAAAGTTATTTTGCTTATATAATGACAAGGCAAATAAATGTTGGTTAGAAAGTGTTTATAAACTCTGGAAACTAAAGGACAGTAAAGTGGGCGGTTTAAAAATCATTCAACCTCGAAAGATGTGCACACGCAAGCAGGATCTCTGCTCAATTCTCTATGACCAGATTCCATTTGCTAACAGAAAGCCCTCAGAAAAACCGAGCTTGTCTGATGGGTGTGATTGTGGTGTGTGGGTGGAGGGGGGCGTGGGTGAGCACCCACGAAGCATTGCTGATCCCCCTGGAGTGATCGCATTACCCAGTTCCATTGGGCTGCTCTTGTCCACCTCAATGTTCTTCTCCTCACTGGTGCTTTGCTGCACTATCTCCAGGACCTTTGGCCTCTCCTCCTCTCGGTCATCCAGTAGCTCCTTGCTGCTGCTGCCTCTGGAGATCACCGGTTGGGCTGGCTTATCGTTCTTCTCCCGGCCGATGCTGCTCCGACTGCTCAGGGGGAAGACAAAAAATCTATTTAGTTATTTGTGTGTTTACAGTCACCTGCATGGATCCAATCTGCCACTTGTTAAACCTCACGGCACAAATAAACTGCAGATTACCGTTTCTGAGTCGCTAAATTACATCCGGTCTGTCTTAAGTAGCAGAGACCCATTTAAGAAACAGCTTGATGCTGTAATAGTAAGAGAAGAAGTGTTGTATTCCGGAACACTGAGATCAAATGGCCCAAAGGGTTTTTTTTGTAGAAGCGTAGATATTTACAATATGCGATTCAGCCATTAGGCTCATCAAGTTTGCACTGGCTCTCAGAGCAAGCTGTTCATTCAACTTTTCAAACCAAAACGTTTCACGGCTCCTAGACAATGGGAGTCCATCACTGTCAAAAATCAAATGGTTTGTGCCGGGTGTTACCTTTCCCTCATGCTAAATAAGTTTGGAATAAAAGAAGCCCAACGCTTCCTGTGATTACTGGAAAAAAGAAAAATAGTTGTTTGTATTGACTAGTATTAGGGGCCAGCTGGAGTTTAGTCGATTGGCGGATTGTTTTCCGGGGGAGGGCGGGTAATTATCTCTTTAAAAAAAAGCGGCCACTCGATACATGACTGTTTGTGGGACACAGCTGTGTGCAATTGGCTGCCACATTTCGCCCACAAAATATACCATCAATTCACTTTACAATACTGGGAGGCGCTTTGAGATGTCTCAACGATGTGATAAGACACTATATCAAATGCAAGGATTATGAATATAGTTTAAATGGTTAAAGCTGTGCACCTTTCCATTGAGAACAATATCTGGCAAGCTTCCTGTTGCTTGTCCAGCTCAGATACCCCACCATTAGAGTTTGGGATGACAGGAGCCAAGCCCAACACCTACCTTGGGAGTGTCCTGCGAGGCTCGGATTCTACAGCGGGAGAAGCTGCCTGCTGCAGCACAGAGAACCTGTTCACACTCGCTCGTGGGGCATCTGAAATGAAAACATTTTTTTAAAAAAAAATGTCTTCTTCATTCGGCTCACTGCACCTAGAGTCAACTCAACTGGACTTTTAAAAAAAGAAACAACTGCATAAAACAATCATCTTGATAAAAAGAAAAGGCAGTGAGTTTAACTTACCAGATTCAATTGTTTTAACACCTCCACTGCTGCCCTTCACCCAGCTCCCTAGGCCGCTTCCTGGGCCCAGCTGAATTTTGTCATCGGTGGCAGGCTACAGGACAAAGAGAAATCCAGAGAACAAAATATTTATTATATATCCTATACTTCACCCACAAAATATACAGTCAATTCATTTTACAGTATATCCTGTGAAGCGCTTTGAGACGTCTCAAAGATGTGATAAGGCGCTGTATCAAATGCAAGGATTATTATATGCGACAAGATGCTATAAAAAAAATCACTGACATGAGCATTCTTGTCACAAGAAATCAATGCAGACACCCAACATTCACAACGCAGCAAAAAAAAAAGTTCGGTGAATGTGGCTCATTAAGTGTTGCGGTTTTAGCTAAATTGAGGCCAGTACCTTGGTGATTTTGGGGAATTTGCTAGGATCTATTGTTCTGCTACTTTTTCCCACTGGAACGACATTCCACGCTTCTTCTGAGGGTCGTACAGCAGCTGACAATTGTACAGAGCACAAGGGTATGAAGTTATTTACATTCATTGCAACATGAATTCATCTCTACTAACAGTGAGGCTTCTTTCACCATTGCTTTGAAGGTTTAGAGTTAACCTGGTGAAAGTCCCCATCCTCGCCCCGCTTCACTGGCTCCCCACCCCCCTGGGGATCAAGTTCAAGAACCTTGAACTTCTTGAAGGTCAAGAAGTATGACTGTGCCTTCAATCACCCTCCTTTCCCCCATGCCCTCAACCCTCCCTGATCCCAATCCCCAGCTCAGGTCCAAAACACTGATTGTCCAGTGCCTTGGGATGTCCTCCCGACGTGTAAACGCAATTTGTTGTTGTCTTTGAGATTATGAAGGGTTATGCTCTAGGGTAAATAGTAATAGAGCTCCAGTTGTCTGCAAGTCAGTAACAAGAGGGCACGAATTTAAGATCACCAAGAGAAATTAAAGGAAGTGAATCATTTCTTTGCGCAATTGGCTGCCGCGTTCGCCCACAAATATACAGTCAATTCACTTTACAGTGTGTTCTGTGAAGCGCTTTAGGACGTCCTCCCAACGTGGAAAGCGCTATATCAAATGTAAGGATTATTATTATTATTATGCTGATGGGATGTGGAAATCTGATGGAAATACTGCAAATTAAATCCCAATACTGCAAAGTAATCCTCCAGTTCAGTATACAAAGTGAAAATGTTTGCTTATGGTGCAATGAAACAAACATTCTTCTTGGTACCATCTTGATAATATAAAAGCTGCCTCGAGTATCCACCTGCTGCAAGGTAAGTAGAGAACTCAACTTAAGGACAGCCTGGAAAAGAGCAGCAAATAGGGACTGGAGCACTTAACATCAAAGAGGAGCTAATACCAGCAAGACACAGGGGAGTGGGAAAGCAGGGAACAGGATTACCACAACTGCCTCTGCAGGCTCAATGGGCCAAATGGCATCCTCCTGTGGCTGTGACTTTAATGGTAGAAACTCATATTTCTTTTATCCCTCACGGTAGCAAAACAAGAATTGCTGCTTTGTCATGACTTTTAAAATTCAATGTACAACAGCAGGTTCCCCTCCTACCTGGCCTCCTCTTTTCCTGCTTGGACAGGAGCTGCTGATGGACTTTGAGCTGCTGTTGCTGTTCCTCAATCTGAGCATCCTTGTGGATCTGTTCTATGGTCTTCGGCCCTTGCTCAACTCTGCGAGCCACCCAGTTTTTCTGTGTGGACGACAAAGATTTCGAAAACCATCAATAGACTGGCAATATGTTATACAAATAATTATAATCGATCAGGATTGGACAGTGCTGGGGTTAGAACGGACCATTTTCACCCAAGAAATTTCACCTACTCTTAAGACTCTCGGACCAAATTTTCTAAGATTAGAAAAATATGTTCCAATTGCGAAAAATGTTTAAAACATCCACATTAATTATTGTTATCACCATTAATATGGATTGAAGAATTTTCTACCATTCCTCGGACTATTACACATTAGGATAGAATAGATTTGCGGGTTAAGGACTAAGTGAAATCTCAGGGCTGCGGAGTCGGAATTCTGCCCAGACTGATGGGGCGTAGTTTTATGTCACAACCACCAGAGGGCAGGACTGTGAGATGGGTTTGGGCAGTCACAAAATAGGGAAAAACATTGCCTGTCGTTCAGCTGCCGCCTTCACTCAGACACCAAGGGACCGCTGGATAATCAGGGAAACAGAAAGGTTACATTAGTGGGGATGCTCTTCATCTTCTGTGGCCAGGGTTTGAGGCTCAGGCCGAGACAGACAGAAGTAGAGAAAGTGGGAAACTTCTAAAATGAGCGATCCGCACAGCTTGTTTTTTTTTTGTCATTCATTATCATCTATAAAAACAAATTGCACGTCGATACAATTATTATTCCACACCAAACAGGTTGAAGAGAACACAGTGTGAAAGTTGGGACCATAACTCGCTTGTTCCGCAGAACCTCAACGTCCGTCTGTGTGAGTGTGTGCGTAACAACCTAAACCGTTAAAAGCCTCCAACAAACAGCCTCATCTAAATGAAAAGTATAAACTCATTATGTTTTCCTTTCAGGCCTCTGTCTTACCCAAGAAAGTGCCTCATATCTGACAGGCCGGATGGCAAGGCTTCAGGGATTAATGTTTTTAAATCTTAAAATTGTGAAATTGCAAACCAGAAATTGCAGTTAAAAGAAATGCAGTTTGCAAATAAGGTATTTTAGACCCCGCAGTTAATTATAATGTACTATTTGCAGTTATGTTTTAATCATAACTCATCATTTTAGAATACTGGTCCACAATAAAATAGACAGATACCCCAATGCACATCAATCAGATAATCAAAAAGGACAACGTACCTGCCTCAAATCTATCACATCTTGTAACATGAACCGTATTCTGGATGAAGTTTTCCTTTCCTTTACTATTTTTTCCATTTGGTTGAAGTACTGGTCCATGCGAGGCTGAAACAAAGAGCAGACCATTAACATCCAGCTGCTGTGTTCAGTTTTCTCAATTCTAAACCCTTTAAAAATCTCCTTTGAAGGAGATCAGGAACATAAAGGAATCTTTACAGCACCTTACCACATCAAAGTGGCTCAAAGCACTTTAAGGCTTTTCTGCAGTTCACGTTTTCATGGGGCAACTGTGGCAAGCGCTTCTCACAAACAGCCAGGAGATGAATTGTTGCCCAGGACATTGAGTAATTTCCTTCTCCTTCCCAATGCCATCGAGGATCTTTACCGACCATTTGAACTAACACATAGGCCTTGAAGCGGACCTTAGTTTAACATCTTCTGAAGGTCACCACGCCAGACAACACAGGGTCTGCAGATAGAGTCAGCTGAATTGTTAGCCCACGTCCTGAGGTGGGGCTTGAACCCATATTGTGTGACCCAGAGATAAGTGATACTAACTGAGACAAGCTTAAAAACTCTTCACAGGTTGGGATTCAAAATGTTATAGAACATTATAGTGATTACACTCAACATTTGTGATCTTTTACATTTAACTGGATTGAACCATCACAAATGGGGAAAGAGCGAGGGAGTGGGACTACTTGGTAAGCTCTTTCAAAGACAGGCACGATGGGCCGAATGGCCTCCTGTGGTGCAACATTCTATTATTCTTTTAAAGAATCCAATTTGAAATAACCATTTTCAGACCCCATCATTCAATGAATCAGCATATTCTTTTTCTAAACTAAGCTCAGTTGGAAGGCTGCCAATTCTCAACAGCATGACGGTGGCAGCGACCTGATGGCCCAGCCATTTGTTTTGCATCAGTAGCCGGTGGAAATCGGGGTAAATAAATCAGGTGAATAAGGTTCACATCCCAAACTCACTATTAGCAAACCAGCATTATCAATCAGAATTATACAGCACAGAAGGAGGCCGTTCGGCCCATCGTATCCGTGCCGGCTCTTTGAAAAGAGCTTCCAAATCAACCTCAATCCCCACGCTCTGCAAACTTGTCCTCCCCAAATAATTATCTACTTCTCGCTTAAACACTGGTGTCAAATCGGCTTCCCCCAGCCTTTCAGGCAATGCATTCCAGATCCCAACAACTCGCTGTGTGAAAACATTTCTCCTCACCTCCCCTCTGTTTCTTTTAACAACTATTTTAAATCGATGTCCTCGGGTTACCGACCCGCCCGCCAGTGGGAATAGTTTCTCCTTGTTCACTCTATCGAATCCCCTCATCATTTTGAAAACTCTATTAAGTTTCCTCTTAACCTTCTCTGCTCCAAAGGAGAATAATCCGAGCTTCTCTACCTCTCCTGATAACTGAAGGCCCTCCTTCCTGGTACCATCCTGGTCAATCTCCTTTGCTCCCTCTCCAATGCCTTGACATCCTTCCTAAAGTGTGGGGCCCAGAACTGAACACAGTCTCCAGCTGCGGCCTCACCAGTGTTTTATATAAAGGTTCATCATAACTTCCTGACTTCTGTATTCTATGCCCCTATTTATAAAGCCTTGTATCCCGTATGCTTTTTTAACAGCTTATCTACCCGTCTTCCCACCTTCAAAGATTTACTTATATGACCCCCAGGTCTCTCTGTTCCTTCACCCCCTTTAAGATTGTACCATCAGCTTATATTGCCTCTCCTCATTCTTCCTCCCAAAATGCTTCACTTTGCATTTCTCCATATTAAACTTCATCTGCCACGTGTCTGCCCATGTTACCAGTCGGTCGGTCTATGTCCTCTTGCAGTCTGCTGCTATCCTCCTCACTGTTTATTACTCTCCCGAGCTTAGTATCATCTGCAAACTTGGGAATTGTCCTCCCTATACCCAAGTCCTGGTCATTTATACAGATCAAAAACAGCAGTGCCCAATACCGACTCCTGGGGGACTCCACTGTACACTTCCCTCCAGTCAGAAAAACATCCATTCACCATTCTCTGCTTTCTGTCTCCCAGACAGTTCTGTATCCATACTGCCACTGTCCCTTTAATACCGTGGGCCTCTATTCTGCTTACAAGTTCTCTTATGTGGCACTTTATCGAACGCCTTTTGAAAATCCATATAAACTACACTACCTTCATCCACCCTCTCCATTACTTCATCAAAAAACTCTCTGGTTTGTTAGACATGATTTGCCTTTAACAAATCCTTGTTGGCTCTCCTTTATTAATTCATATTTCTCTAAGTGAATATTTCTTTTGTCCCGGTTTATAGTCTCTAGAAGTTTCCCCACTACTGATGTTAGGCCGACTGACCTGTAGTTCCTGGGTTTATCCTTCTGTCCCTTTGTGTACAGGGAAGTAACAATTGCAACCCTCCAGTCCTCGGGCACCACCCCAGTGCCCAAGGAGGATTGAAAGATTGTATCCAGAGCCTTTGTTATTTCCACCCTTATTTCCCTCAGTAACCTAGGATGCATCCTGTCCGGACCAGGTGCCTTATCTACCTTGAGCACCAACAACCTTTTTAGTACCTCCTCTCGGTTTATTCTTATCTTATCCAATTCCTTTACCCCCTCTCCTCCAATACCGTGGCATTGGCTGCATCTTCTTCTTTTGTGAAGACAGATGCAAAGTACTCATTCAGTACGTCAGCCATGCCCTCTGCCTCCAAAAGAAGATTTCCTCTTTGGTCTCTAATTGGACCTACACTTCTTTGACTAACCTTTTATTCTTTATATGCTTATAAAATACCTTAAGACTTCCCTTTTAATGTTACCCCTAATCTTTTCTCATACAATCTCTTTGCCCCTCTTATTTCATTTCTCAGTTCTCTTCTGTACTTTCTATATTCTATTTGATTATCTTGTGTATGTTGGACCTGACATTTACAATACGCCTCCTGTTTCTGTTTTATTTTAATCCCAATTTCCTTATTCATCTAGGGAGGTTTGGATACCCTATCTTTTCCCCTTTGTGGGAATGTATTTGTTCTGTCCCCGAGCTATCTCCTACTTGAAGGCTTCCCATTGCTTGTTAGCTGTTTTACCTGCCAATCTTTCTTTCCAGTCCACCTTGGTTAGGTTCCTTTTTAACTCACTGAAATTAACCCCCTTCCAGTTGAGTATCTTCAACTTGCAATTATAACAGAGTCTTAATGTACATTTATTTGGAAAAAAATAGAAGACTTACTTTTGCCTTTTCAAAGTCGAGGTCCTTGCCGATGGTGGTTAGTAACCGGCATAAACATTCCAGTGACTCCTGGTCGTGGTTTTTCAGCAGTTTGACCACACAGTCATGCATGATGGCCTCCGTTAGCATCTTAAGCTTGAAGAGCTCACCAATAAACTTAATATTTCCAATGGACCTCCTGCGAGCCATGTCCTTGGTTTCCTTCAGTTCCGCTTGCAGACGGCTTTTCTCTTCATTCTGAGCCAAATCAGACCGATTAGAATGATACTAATCCTTGCACTTATCAGGTCATTGAGACGTCTCAAAGCGCTTCACAGAATATACTGTAATGTGTAGTGACTGTATGTTTTGTGGGCGAAAGGCGGAAGCCAATTGCGCACAGTAGTGTCCCACAAACAGCCGCGGATTGAGTGACCAAATGATTATTTATTAGAAATGTCAAGTGGAGACAGACAGATCTCATCTCAAGTGTAGGCGAAAAGACCAAGCGAGCCCAGGGCAGCTCCAGTCAAAGGAGAGGCAAAGTTGCAAAGAATTTAAGAGTTCTGTCTCAATTATATAATGTTTCACATTATGTAATGCTCACTTGAGCAGAGCCCACTACAGCATGCTTTGTAACAGAATGAGGCCTTTACAACAGGAATTATCTTGCTGTTCCTATACAAGAGGTGAGATTGGGAATTTGGAGCAGAGGGGCAAGGAGGTGCTTAAATATATTTTAAAAAATAAGAAAACAATTCAGGGAATATGGCATAACAGCCGAGACCTGTTGCAGCACATTGTGTGCCATGTGGTAACGCCCGGATGCTTTACTTGTACTGGTCAACTACATGAGCAGAAAGTGCTGCTCAAGATCAGGGTTTCTGAGCTTGAGGAGAAGCTGGTGTCACTACAGGGCACACAGGAAGCTGAAGCCTTTATGGACCGGTGAGGGTGACAACACCTTCGAGGAATGCAATCTTGGGCAACCGACTGCACAAGTGGCCACAGGGAAGTGTAGCAATGTTAGTGTCATTGAGAATTCAACAGTTGGGGGAGAGACAGGCAGGCATTTCTGCAACCGCAAACATGAATCTCACATGGTGTGGAGGTTGTCAGTAACCAGGACACATAAATTTAAGATAATTGGCAAAATAACCAGAGGGGAGGTGAGGAGAATACTTTTAACTTAAGAGAGTAAAAACTGGAATGCTGGTGGAAACAGATTCAATAACAACTTTCAAAAGGGAATCAGATAGGTACTTGAAAAGGAAAATTTGCTGGGGTATGGGGAAAGACCGGGGGAATGAGACTAGGTGGTAGCTCTCCCAAAGAGCTCGGACAGGCACAATGGGCCGAATGGCCCCCTTCTGTGCTGTAACATTCTATCTGTGATAATACCTTCTGCACCAAGAATATTTTTTCTAACGTCTTTTCTTTTCTCGCTTTTTAATCCTACTATGTCCTCTCTGTACTGACTCACTGACCAGTGGAAATAATCTGTCATTATTTACCCTGTCGTAACATTTCATAAGCCCTTGGATATCATTAGGTCTTGTTAGAAAAAACACTCAGCTTCTCAAACTACTGTTAAACAGCCACAGTCACAGGTAAGGTCACAGCAGGGAGGTTTCAATAAAAATGGGTAATTTGACTTCAAGGCTCTAAGGTACTCACTGAAGAAGCATCGATCTCCTTCTGTCTCTTCTCATTGAAGATATCCTCTGCCTTGTCCTTTTCAAACTCTTTCTGACAGCGATTGAGCAGCAATTTGCGGAAATTTACCCAGGCTCCTGGTTTGTCTGCCATCGGGACTTTCAGCTGAGGGGGAAGGGGAATAATAATAATCCTTGCACTTGAATGGGGGAAAGAAAGCGATGAATAGGGTCATAGGAATCAGTGTAAGGTTTCACAGCACCAACCACATTGTGTGTATATTGCTCTCATGTATGTAGGGGAGAAGGAAAGACAGTGAATGTGCATCCCACATGAATAACCTCTTCGTCCTCCCCACACCCATCCTACCATCTGCTTTGCCCTAAATCCAAGTTCTAATCTTTTCAGTGGGAGATCTCTTTACACCAGCCCGCTGAAAAGTCAGCCGGTGTCAAAATTCAACCACAAATAAACTGGCCACCCAACTCCGACATCAACAAGGGAGATTCAAATATTTAATAGGATGATTTTCTGGAACTTAAGAAACCGTAGGAGGGGGAAGTTACAACACTTCATTTTTCAGCACATTCAAAGTTTCATAAAGTGGAGGTCTGTTAAGCTGGACACGTCGGGAACTGCCTTTTTGTCCGGCCTAAGAGGTGTCTGAGGTTAGCCCAAGTTCTTTTTCCTCTTCCCGCCCAGCAGAGGAGTGGCTGCTCCTCCTCCCTCCCATTGCCGTTCTCATTCGATGGGAAAGGGATCAATTAGCGGCGACTGAAGTGATTGACAGGCTCCACCCAGTCACAAGCGGCTCCGCGGTCAATCAATCGTGATTTGACTCCTCCCATACCCTCCCTTGTTCTTCCCCGTTCCTCCGTCCTCTCACTGATTGACAGCCCAACTCCAGCCGCTTGTGAATGGCTGGAGTCCGCTGCCAATTAATCTTAACCTCCTCCCATCTCCATCCCGGAGCTGCTTGTAGCTTAATGGAGGCTGGATACACACTGACGGCCTGAGTGAGAACATTCAGCGCAACGTTTTGACTGCATTGTTGTACAAATTAACTGGCATATTTAAAGCAGTTAAGAATACAAATGAATCAGGGCCGGGTGTTTTGTTCAATTAACCAGCGTCCAGGGTTAACTGGCGTCCATCTAAAGCGGATTCCACTGTACCATAAATTCATGGAATCATAGAATTATACAGCACAAAAGGAGGCCATTCGGACCATCATGTCTGTGCCGGTTCTTTGAAAAGAGCTTCCAAATCAACCGCACTCCCCCGCTCTCTCCCCATAGCCCTGATCAACCCCACTCCCCCGCTCTCTCCCCATAGCCCTGATCAACCCCACTCCCTCGCGCTCTCCCCATAGCCCTGATCAACCCCACTCCCCCGCTCTCTCCCCATAGCCCTGATCAACCCCACTCCCCCGCTCTCTCCCCATAGCCCTGATCAACCCCACTCCCCCACTCTCTCCCCATAGCCCTGTATACTTGTCCTCCCCAAATAATTATGTACTTCTCTCTTACAAGTTTTTATCAAATCGGCTTCCACCACTCTTTCAGGCAAAGTAGGCCCCAAATTAGGGAATGGTCCTGGCAAGGCTTCCCAAGATAATCTACAGAAAACATCAAGAGATCTTTTGAAAGAAAAAAAATCTTTACAGTGAGACTTATGTTGAAACCTTTCAAATTATTGTCAAGTGTTGTGACCGTTTTGGAAGCAACCATGACAGCCACCAAAGATCACTATCAGCTATACAATTGCAGGTCAGGACACTGGGAAAAACTGCCTTTCTTTTTATAATTGCGTCACTGGATCTTTAACGTCTACCCAAAAACCAGGCAGACAGAGACCTCAGCAGTGTAGGAAATATGAAACACAGATGGAGTGCTTGGGGAGCCTTACCATGGTGAGGCAGCGGCACATGTTGGCATAGGCGACTGAGAAATTGGGCTCATCAATAGCTTTCTCGAACACCAGGTTGATGACTCCCTTTAGTCGTTCCTCAGTATCAATGGTCAGCTCTTGAACTTGCTTCATCAGCTGCTGGAACATCTGAGGGGTCAGCTTGTTCAGAATGCTGCGCACTCGGCGGAACAGGTCCTGGGTTTTGTGAAAGAAATCGACATAAAATAATAATCCTTACAGTTAGTATAGTGGCTTTCATGTTAGGAAGATGTCCCAAAATACTTCACAGGATATACTGTAAAGCGCAGTGACCAGGTGTTTTGTGGGCGAACATGGCAATCAATTTGCGTACAACAATGTCTCACAAATAGTCATTAAGTAAATGACTAATCATATTTGGGGGATTGTTGGCCAGGAACCCGGGAAAGAAATTTCCTTCTCTTTTTCGAATAGTGCTATGGAATCTTAATATCCACCTGAACAGGCAGATAGGTTTAACATCTCATCCAAAACAGCACATCCCAGCACTGCATTGGAGTGTCAACACAACACACAAGAAAGTAACTGCCCAACTGTAAATTAGTGTAAACTGAAAGAAACTTAGCTAATACTAATTATTAAACAACCCTTCCATTTTTTTAATAACACCTAAAATGTCAAATCGCAATGTGCTTTATATTGTGATCATGTTGATTGACCAGATAGACAAGGCATCTAATTTAATGTCCCTTCTCTTTTCTAACAGGTTCACGGGATCTTTAACATCCATCTTAACAGGACCTCAGTTTGATGTCTCATCTAAAGAATGGCATCTCAGACAATGACAGACACTGTACATGTATCAGCACAGAAAGTGATCTCAGGGGTCGAGCCCAGCCTTCTAATCCAGAGTTCGTATTCCCATCAGATGGGGTTTGCATTGAAGCGCTCGGAGACGCTACCCCACGTGAAGAACCCTACATAAGTGCATATTGTTGTTGAAGATCAAATGCCTCTCGACACATGGCAATTCCTATTCTGCCGTTCGGTACAAAATACTATGGCAACAACCCAAATCCCTCATTAAACAAATGTCAAATTGCCAACAATTAACTGAAAATAATTCATCTTCTGTATGTAAAGAGTAGCCTGGTATCACCTCAGAGTGAGCAACACCTGGGGTCACTGCCCCTTTAAGAAATGCATACCCTGGTCAGGCGATCTCTTATTCTACCACCCCCACTGTTGGCAACACACCCAGTGTGTGCGCAGCGCATGAATGAGACCGTTATACAAGCATTCTGCCGGTCTCAACATTTAAGAGCAGTTTGTTATCTCCCAGCTGCACAACACACAATCCAGTGCAACCAACACACATTTCTCTGGGTGAAGAGGCTGAATATTAAACATGGCTATTTGTGTGCCTAGTGTTGTAAATAAAACTACTACCTGTTTTTTGGAATAGTAAGAGGTTCAGGCCAGCAGCACGACACTGCGTTCCCACAGAGGCTGGACCTATCAGATCAAGTGAGAGGATTTTTAATTCACGAAAACGGGAGGTGTGGAATTGGAAAAATTCTGCAACTGGATCTTCAGAACAAGCAACATGACCTACAGGGTGATTCCTGAACTAGATGGCGTACAGCTAGGATATAGAACGTGCTTCAATTCATTAAGGGAGGGAGGAAAATACAGGGGAGGTCAAACTGCAATGTTTGAATGTGGATTAGAGCAGAAACCTGGTTGTTAGAAGCTGTCGTATCGCTCTGCTTGAGGGAAAGGCATAAGGGGTACTTGGCAACTATGCATAACACATCACAAACAATATATATATGCCTGGATCCATTCACAAAATCCTTGATTATCTAACTCTGAGATGCACTTACTGCACTTGCATTGCCCATGCAGAAGATTTTTCAATGAATACCTCAGCGAGTTAAACTGTAAAACACATGGCATGTGCATTTGGACCAACCTGCGTTTTGTTCAGATCAGGTTCCTCCTGAACTGCTTCCCGTTTCCCGGTGGGTTTCCAGGCATTTTCTGATTTCTTCAGCTTCACATCATCATTGACGGATACGATGGGAATGATTTTCCTGGGCTCTCGTCTTTGCCCGTGTTGAGATCTCCTTGGTCCGACGACACTGAGCACCTACAAGTATGGCCAGTATTAACAAGAAGAACTGACAAGAGCATCTTTCACATCACCTACGATATGGAGCACTAAACATGTTAGGATGTTTCTAAGAGGGTATTCAAGGCAATACAATAAGACATATTGGAGGATATGGGCTGGAGAAAACAGTCCTTCACAATCTTCAACTTACCTTTTTTTTCTTGGCGTTTTCGAAAATATCATTCGAGTTTACTTCCTCAGTGCCATTTAGCCTCAATCCCTCTGTCTGAGCCCCGCCCAACTTTCAATGCCCACTTTAAGAACCATCTCTTTGTGTCTGCGCTTCCAATCATTCCCTCCCCAGGCTCAGGTGTCCAGTCAGTTGTGTGAAGTGCTTTGAGATGTCCCCCGGATGTGAAAGATGTGGTATCAATTATTATTATTGATGTGTTATAGCTCATGCACCCAACACTTAAAGATCATTGAGAAACAGAATCAATTTCTGAGCTGAAATAACTTACCGGTATCACTCGGGTACTCAGGACTGGCCTTCCAAAGTCCGCGTAGGAGGGTGTGAAGTCTGGTCCTCTGGTCAGCATCCGGGAAGGATCCAGTGGCCTTGAAATCGATTTAGTCTGGTTAACCTGAAAAGAAAACCTTGGTTATTGCACCACCACCACCAACAACTTGCACTTACATAGCGCCCTCCACGTAGGGTACCGTTTCAGAGCCTTTTGTACTAGGTGCAGAAGATGGACGGACTCAAACCCAAAAAACAAAAAAGCAAAATATTGGAAATCTGAAATAAAAGCAGAGTGTTCCCTGGGAGCACTCCCTGGAAACACTCAGTAGGTCAGGCAGCACCGATGGAGAGAGGAAAGTGAGTTAATGTTTCATTGTTAACAACACCACCTTGTTGAGATAGATGCTGCCTGACCTGCTGAGTGTTCCCAGAGACTTTGGACTCAAACCCAAACTAGGCCAGTCCAATTTGTGGACTGTACTGGGACTATCTGAAAGATGTGTTGCCAAAGGGTCAGAATAATGCCCCATCCCCCCGGGCTGCTATAGAAAAATATGATTCAATGCACATACAAGGGTATGTGCATCAAAAAAAATGTTGGTCACTTAATCACGACTGTTTGTGGGAATTGGCTGCCATATTTCACCTATAAACATGGTCAATTCATTTTACAGTATATTCTGTGAATTGCTGACACGTCAAGAAGACGTGATAACATACTGTATGAAATACAAGGATTTATTATTATTATCAAATGCACCAGAACATATTAATTTGCACTCTCACAGTACAACAACAACAAAATGACATTTGTATAACGCCTTTCACATTGGGAGGACGTCCCAAGGCACCGGACAGAGTTTTAGACCCGAGCTGGGGGTCAGGAACAGGGAGGGTGGAGGGCAGGAGTGGGGAAGAAGGGTGATCAAAAGCACGGTTGAAGTGGTGGATCTTGAGATGGGACTTGAAAGAGGCAAGGGAGGGGGCGAGGCGGAGGGACTGCGGATGAAGGTCCAGAGGTTGGGGGTAGAGTGCCAGAAGGCCCGCCAGACAATAGTGGGGCGAGCGAGTCAGGGGATGTAAAGTAGGCCTGCGCCCGTTGAGCGGAGGGAGTGAGCAAGATGGTAGGGGCCTAGAGCAAGACCATGGAGGGCTTTGAAGGTGAGGACCAGGATCTTGAACAATATCCTCTGTGTGATGGGAAGCCAGTGGAGTCGAGTGAGGATGGGAGTGATAGGGTCACGGAGCCTGATGTGGGAGAGGACACATTACAAGTACAGATTACTCTGATTATTTTGAAATAGATTATACAACCCTCTGCTTATTTAATATAGCTTTGCAATATCCAAATTAAACAGCTGCTCAATATGTTATTTCACAGAATAATTACAAACAAATTAACTCCTCACAAAATCTTCAAAAATGAATGGCTGTGTTTTCAGAGTCAGGGAGAGAGAGGGCTGGTTACAGAAGGAAAATGGCCCCAGAAAAATAGCGGCACTTTGCTCAATCAACTGTTCCATTCGGAAAGAAAAGATAACAATTGTGATATTCCCCAGCACATGCTGTTCATTGTTTAAGGAACAAGGTCAAAATCTGTTTTGAAATAATGAGAAATTAACCTACCCAAACCACTCACCAATGGTATTGCTCAAAACAGCTGAAAAGCCCCGGGTATTGTCATCTTGGGCTGCATTGCTAGGGTCAATATAGTTAGGGTCCATATAGCTCGGGGCAATGTAACTAGGGGCAATTTTATGCACCTATTTGAGCTTCTTAAGGGCATATTTCCCATGCTCTTCCCATGCTCAAACAATGGAGGTCTCGCTAAAATCTTTGGCTAATCCCATTATGCAGCCATGGAATGTGTTCAGAAATACTGTAATCCTGACCCACAGCCCCACATCACTGGGCCAGGGAACACAACCCACCTTGTCGAGAACCACGTCGGTGATGGCAGGCAAGCCCTCCGGCTTCTGGATGCTGGCCGGTATGAACTGGAAGCCAAGGAGGAACTCACGGTCATATCGCTTCTTACCCTCTGGATTGAGGGGCTTCCACTGCTCTGCAAGGACCCAAAATACATGTTCAAAATAAAACAAGAGGGTAGCAGGTTGCCCGAAGGCTTCACTTGTGTAAATTTAGCCATGGTTTAAAAACTAAAAGCAACTATAATTTTCATAGCATTTTATTGAATCAAATGTCTTGATTTCATCTTAAACTTAATTTAAGAAGCAGTCTGGTGTGAAGGGTGCTATATAAATGCAAGTTGTTGTTGTCTTCAAGGGTTTCATTCTCTCAAGTTTAGTGACTTTTTGTAAGGAAATGTTACAGCCATTTTATATACAAACCACCACAAAGTGAATGATCAAGTTATTTGGAGGGTTGCTGGCCAATCTCTTAACACTATTCTAATAGGCAGATGGGACTTGGCTTTACCAGCTCATTTGAAGGATGGCACCACCGACCATAGACTGTGAGATCAAGTCTCAAAATTTAACCTGAATGCAGAAAGGAGAGGGTGACCATCATCTAAATCTGCTCCCCCAACCTGGAACTTCTCATAGATAATGGTTACTTTCCCAGGACATCCCCATTGCAACCAAATGTACGTTAATGTGCGAACAGAGAATGGTAGAGTTGTGAACAATTTTTTTATACTCTTTAATTCCCAGTGCCTGTAAAAATCCCCAAATTGTCAGCCACTATATTTATAAGTAAATTCTGGTTAACAATTCCTCAGATAAAATTGGTCATTTGTCTTATGGCTGTTGGTGTGCTGTGCGCAAATTAGTTGCTTCATTTGCCTTGAAACACAGTCATTACACTTCACAGTAAATTCTGTGAAGGGCTTTGAGACATTGTGCTTCATGATAAGGTGCTATACCAGAATTATTACAAGACAAGTAAAAGGACAAATGCTTGCAGAGTTTTGAAAGACCACGGCTTCCCGGGCTCTATGAAGTTCCATTAAAACCAAAGTAGGAATGAGACGAATGTGGTTACAGAAATGCCTCTGTAAACCAAATACAATGTTAGTGCGGATGTTCACTAGAGAGAGCTCCCTTCACAAACTGAACGACTCTTTGAAGTTCAGGAACCTAAAATTCAATGAACATAGTGCCGCTGTCTCTCAATATTTTGTTTAAAGAACAAGTGTAGAGTTTACAGGGTGCAAACCGGGCTCTGGAGACACTAATCTGTGAGAGAGAAACCGAGAGGAGAGGAAAAGAGAAACAGGATGACACTGTGACAGCTTGTCTGCAGAGATGTGACACTGACAAGAAAACTACTTGCTTTCGTTAATTAGAATTGGCGTTGATACTATATTTTGAAACCAGTTACTTTTGTATTTAGGTTTTAGTTATTTTATTCCTTCATTCAATCCTTCATATTTTTATATTATACTATTTTATATTCTATTCTGAGCTATCTATATAGGTATAGGGAGTGTGGGGCATGTGATGTGACCACCAGGAAGGTGAAAGACAAATTGAATGGACCTCGGTTTTTTTTCGTCTAGCATTTGTGCTGTTCTTATGCTGTGTTTTATATATCTATATTATGATCCTATTCTTATAGACTAATACAATTATAATTGGGAAACTGATGAAAATGCTGATATTTCACTATATATAAGACTGAGAAACAAAATCCTGGTTTACCGATTGTCCATTGTGGGCAGCCTGATCTGACCTATTGTACCATCAGAGAGCAGCACAACAGGCCCAAGAGAAGCTTGGGTGCAGCTAAGATATGCCACTATTTTGGAAGCACATGAGCTATGGAGGCCATTCGACAATACCTATACATCTTCCAATCCTGCCTCTATGACTGTCAAGGGCAGTGTACTTCACATATACCCAGCCTCGTTTATGAAATTTTTTAAAATTTCACTAACAGGTCAGTTCCTATTTTAATATTACGTTTAATATTATTTTAATATTTTGAACCCTTGAATCGGGGAACCCCTTTTACTCTTCAGAACATAGTCCAAGCCTTGGTGGCCTCAATACCCAAAGACAAAGGCTTACCTTCTCTAACGCTGGAAGCCACTGTGTCCTCTGGGCTTTCTTTGACACCAGTGTCTGCACTTTCGTTTTCGGAGACAGTTTCTGATCCATTGTGTTCAGGTTCTGCTTCCCTCTCTCCATTTTCTTCCACGTATGCAGCCTTCTCGACATCCGTTTCCTCCGGGCTGAGGTCCAGGACTGCGGCCTCTGGTTCGGGCTCGGGCGTAATCTCATCTGGAACCTCCTCTTCTTCCTCTGCCTCCTCCTCAACCTGAGGCTGAAATTAAGTTACATTCCTCTCAAAATGGATTCTCTCTCCCAACAAAAAAACATTGTCAAATAGAAGTTAATGCTAAATATCACTGCAATAAATAAATTAAATTTAATTTTCAGAAAAATGTTGTTACTTATCAAATCTTATCAAACAGTAATTTCAACACTGAATCTACATGTACACTTCGATAGGATCACAAATGATGCGAGAACAGAAGGCACTGGGGATGAGGGAGGGAGGGAGGTCCAACAAAAGCGTTAATTCACTTTCTTCTCTCCGTAGATTTTGTCCACACACAACAAAGTGTTCTTTATTTAAAAAGGGGTTCTGTATCTATTTGAGGGCTCAGGAGTTATTCCAGTGATGAAGCTACCGTGACATTTGAGCATATGAATAAAATATTAGTTGGATTTTCCACTTCACACGACGCACACAAACACAGGCCGACTTGCACAATGTGCTGCATGCCATATATATATATATAAAACTATGTAATATTATTTAAGGGAAATGGTGATGCCTGCTTCTTTAAATGGATTCTGTAAGATTCCACGTTTCAGAAACTGATTGCAGCCGACAGGAGTTGCAACAAAGTGCATGCTTGATGGACAGTCAGGTAACAAACACAAAAAGCAGCCTGAGGAGTAAAATAACACGTGGCTCTAGTGTGGGGAAAAAACCCTCGCGTTCACATTACATGGTGGGCAGAATCACACGCCTATTATAAAGCAACGCTCGGCGCTCCTCGTGGTTGCTTTCTAATGGTCGTCACCTGGTACGTACTGACGTGTACAGAACTACTGTACAGTCAGGGTTGGTTTATATTTCTTTTCTAATGTAGTATTTGCTGCCAGTTGGTGCAGTTATGTGTGATTGTTATGTTTGATCCAATTGTTGTATATCTTCCATTGTTGCGTTCCTTATATGATCCTGGGATACGATTTTCTCAGAGCGGCTGATCGCCACAACGTAGTAGTTTGCAGAAGCTGTACATTCACACGCAATTAGATAGGGACGAGCTTTGTAAAGTTTTGCAGGTTTACAGGTCCAGCATGGCTAATCATAAATTAGACTGTGGTTTAATTCAGTGTGAGGTTAGGATACGGGGAGGGAACGATAAACCCGTTCCCCAATATCCATTACCCAGCGACTCAATCGCTGATCTAAAAAATATTCACATTCGTTAAAAAATATTCACATTCGGTTAGAAACAGATTTGGAGTTAGAAAGCTTACTGCCTAAAAGCTGATCCCCATTGGAAGTGGTTCTTTGGGACCTGGTGGAAGGGTTAATGGTTGTGCATTGTGATGATTCTTCGCAGGAAGTCGAAAGGGTTAAGTTGGCCGGCGCTGGGATTGCTATTGGTAAATGGACGGCAAATGTTGGGACGAGATGGAAAACCGCTCCATTTCCTGCAGAGCCATTTCAGCACAGGCTGCTGAGGAAACTGCTTTGCTGGAGTTGCTGAAGCATTTCCCATCAGACACAAAGGTGGTTATCGTTAGTGATTCAGCCTACGCGTGTCGAGCCTACATGAATGAATAAACTAAGTGGGGTTTTACCTACTTATTTTACCTACACGAGTAAGGGGTTATATAATTACGATGACCTATGAGAGACCTGGTAATCTCCACAATGTGATAAAAGGAACCAGGGAAATTCTAAGGCAATACTGGTGGCTCAATATCAAAGAAGGAGGTTAAAAACTACATGGTGGATTACATGCGGTGCATTCGAATTAATTCAAACTTAGTGCAATGGAATACTCAAACCGAGCAGGTCCAAATGGGACGCCCCTGGGTAAGGGTTTATTTAGATTTTATCGGACCTTGCCGAAAACGACCGAGGCAATCGCCATTCATTCGAGTTTGTTGATTATATGATTGGATTTACCATAGCCTACCCCTCTAAGCGGTGCACGGCTAAAACCGTATTTCAGACAATGGCAGAGCAGTTTATCCCCAGAAACAGGGTTATGAATATTCTCAACTCTGACCGTGGAATTCATTTCACAGTGGACATAATAAATCTGGTGACCCATAATTGGGGCATAATTTACATGAACCTTACCATCCAGAGAGTTCCGGAAAAGTTGAGAGGACTAATGAACTCATTAAAAAATGCCCTCAAAAAGGCATGTATCCAGAAAAGTTGCAGATGGGATAAGCAAATCGCTGGGTCTTGATGGGGCTTAACAACAGACCCCTCAGTGACAGACCAGGGTTGATACCGGTTTACCTCTTCCATGGAAGACAAATAATTACTCGCTTACATAGGAGCCATTGGAAATCTCTACTTCACAGCTGGAGCCGATATTATAACTTTAGCCGATATTATAACTCAGCATAACACATCACCAGTCTGAGAACACTTGTGACTACAAGCAAGGTGATTTGGTTACTTGGAAGACACATTACGCGTCTGGGAATTTACAAGAAAGATTCCACAAATCCAGCAAAGTTGTGGAAGTTCTGAATCCTAAAACCATAAAAATCCTCACTTCCAGAGGTAAACAGATAACAGTTTCGACCGACCAGGTCAAACGAGTAGTACAAGTTTGCCAAACCATTCAGATGTTGGGGAGACGATGGCGTGTGAGCCAACCCCTTTATCTGGGTTCAGGTATTGAAGAATGTGAGAATGCAGGAGCCATTCTAAAACTTAACTGTATAAACACCGGGGAGGCACTCAAATTGACCTGCTGATTATCAAATTTGTGTAATAATAAGCTGTTTTGTAAAACATAAGAATATGTTTTTTAACAGTGCTAAAAGGCACCAGGTCCAGCTGGGTCGGCAGAGGTAGATGAGTCACCGGACGGGATGCATCCTTGGTCACTGAGGGAAATAAGGGTGGAAATAACTGTGGCTCTGGCCACAATCTTTCAATTCCCCTTGGACACCGACCGGGGTGGTGCCAGAAGACTGGAGGGTTGTAAATGTTACTCCCCTGTACAATAAAGCGACAGAAAGATAAACCCGAGAATTGCAGGCCAGTCAGTAGTGGGGAAACTTCTAGAGACCATGATCCGGGACAAAATAAATTTTATTAAAAGACAGTGGTAGCGGATACAGAACTGTTTGGGAGACAGAAAGCAGAGAGTGGTGGTGAACAGTTGCTTTTCTGACTGGAGGGAAGTGTGCAGTGGTGTCCCTCAGGGGTCGGTATTGGGACCACTGCTCTTTTTGATCTATATAAATGACCTGAACTTGGGTCTAAGGAGTACAACTCCCAAGTTTGCAGATGATACTAAGCTCGGGAAAGTAGTAAACAGTGAGGAGGATAGTGGAAAACTGCAAGGGGACATAAACAGACAAAATGGGCAGACACGTGACAGATAAAGTTTAATATAGAGAAATGCAAAATGATGCATTTTGGGAGGAAGAATGAGGAGAGGCGATATAAGCTGATGGTACAACCTTGAAGGGGTTGAAGGAACAGAGAGACCTGAGGGTTCATATAAATAAATCTTTGAAGGTGGCCGGACAGGTAAGTAAAGCTGTTAAAAAATCATACAGGATACAAGGCTTTATAAATAGGGGCATAGAATACAGAAGTCAGGAAGTTATGATGAACCTTTATATAAAACACTGGTGAAGCCTCAGCTCGAGACTGTGTTTAGTTCTGGGCATCGAACTTTAGGAAGGATGTCAAGGCATTGGAGAGGGTGCAAAGGAGATTGACCAGAATGGCACCAGGAATGAGGGCCTTCAGTTATCAGGAGAGGTAGAGAAGTTGGGATTATTCTCCTTTGGAGCAGAGAAGGTTAAGAGGAGACTTAATAGAAGTTTTCAAAATTATGAGGGGATTCGATAGAGTGAACAAGGAGAAACTATTCCCACTGGCGGGTGGGTCGGTAACCCGAGGGCACCGATTTAAAATAGTTGTTAAAAGAAATAAAGGGGAGGGAGGAGAAATGTTTTCAAGCAGCAAGTTGTTGGGATCTGGAATGCATTGCCTGAAAGGCCGGGGGAAGCCGATTCATTAACAACTTTTAAGAGAGTAGATAATTATTTGGGGAGGACAAGTTTGCAGGGCTATGGGGAGAGAGCGGGGGAATGGGGTTGATTTGGAAGTTCTTTTAAAGATCCGGTACAGTCATGGGCAGAATGGCCTCCTTTCGTACTGTATCATTCTATGATGATTCTGTGAAGTCTCTGTGAGCAAAATACCGTATGTAAGTTTCTGTCTTCTAGCTGAACTGCATGAGGTTTACTGAGAAAGAGGGAGAGAAAACAGCAACAGACATCCTGGCAATAGCAATACAACACAACAGAAAGTTTTGTGACAGATTATATAAAAGTATATATTATTGTGTATGTAGTATTGTGTTGCCAGTTGCCAGAACCATCACAAAATCCCCCAAAATCATTGAGAAGCAGTTCAAACTACTGGCAATGCTTGTCCAGGAATTGGGGCTGGGGAATCAAGTAAACCATTTAGGCTGCAGTTTCCCAGCAAGTAGCCAATGGAACGATAATGGCCATCAAGATTCCAGGATAGTTAGTTACAGATAGATAGTTATAGGATAGCGATCATCAATGCACTTTACTCCAGCTGCCCACCATCCCAGGCGCCCCGTTAAGCTATTAATTGCACCAGCGCATTAACATGATTGACACCGAAATCCCTGAGCTATTCTGCTTAAATGTGATCATCGGGTGGGATAATACTTAAGTCAGCATTTTTAAAGCATTAAATTAGCTGAAGTAGTAACAATCACTAGGATTGTTTTTAAAACATCTGTTCTGTATTTAACACTAACAAGATTTTCCTAAAATCCCAATTTCTGTCACCCCTTTCAGCACCACAGCCACTGAGTGGATGCAGTGTTGTTTTATATTTGCCTAACCTCACTGTGCACCTGTCATCTCGAGCCTATTACTTGCCTAGATTGGAAGAGACACACAGAGGGATGGAGACACACAGAGAATGAAAGAGGACAAGAGGCCAGCCAAGAGCAATGATGGTGAACTTTTGAACACGCTTCTGCTTCCACTAGGGCTGAATGTGCTTCCTTCTCAATGTTATTCTTAGGGAAAGTGTAAGGTAATACCCACAATCTTTGGTCATCAAATCCAGAAATGTAAATAATTGCCAACAGGTTTATTACCAACTACCCCCCCTCCCCGGCCGCCCACCCCCACACACATGCACACTCCAAACCTATGCAGCATTGAGTGAATAAAATAACAATCTCTTACCTCTTTATTCACCTCTTGCAAATCCTCCTCTGGTTCGTTGCACTCGTTTGGATTCTTCGGCATCTTTGGTGCAGTAAGAGAAGTCTGGACTGTAATACAGGTTGAGGCCCATTACTCGCTAACACACTTGGCTCAGCAGCAAATGGCTGAAGTCAATGGAATTCACTAGTTTTCTATTCATGAAGCTCAGAGTTAAACACACATCAATCTTTAAAGTTAAAACATAATTCAAAGGCTCTGCACTAAAACATAGAGAACAAGTAGCATTTTAACAAAGCAGAAGTGCAGACGCTTTTTACATGACTGGTTTGTCTCCAGACGATGTGTCTGGATGTAGCAAAGACCCGATTCAGGATCGGTTTTCCAGTTGCTTCCGTGCACCACAGATCAGACCGTGATGTAAATAAAGCCAGTGATACACAGGCAGCCAGTGGACAGAACGTTCCACATGGATGTAATCAATGATCATATATACAAGTTCTGATTTTTTTTTACAATGTTCTCTTGCTGAACAATGGTAGTGGAATCGGGGGAGTGAAAGCGGAGAGAGAATTCAGTAACAGACTTTGGTAAATGGCACATTTCATCTATATACACAAACACACATACATGTTTCCCCCACAAATACAGTCAACTAACTTCACTTTATTCTGTGAAGCGCTTTGAGACGTCTCAACGACGTGATAAGGCGCTATATCAAATGCAAGGATTATTATTAATACTATAAAATACTGACTTTTGATCCTGTGGAGAGCGTGGCAATATAAAAGTGGTACAAGATACAATTCCGTGAGTAAATTTGGCCATTTAAGTGTTATTGGATGCAAAATATTGCAAACTGGATGAACTAAACAGTTGAATTATTGCTGCTTTCTGCCAGTTGCATTCTGAAAAACATCACTGCATTTTACATGGAACATATACATTTTCAACAAATATTAAGCTACTTGGAAATCCAAATTTAAGATAATTGCAAAATATATTTGCTAAAGGAGCACATGTAAAAAGCATATCATTAAAAGCTCGGACTGGAAACTGGAGTCCGTTTTTCATGACTATTCAAACACATATATTCTTGTAATTCAAGACTGCTATTTTAGCAACATTCAGCTTCCACTGAGAAACTTGCATCAAGCTACACGCCACGCAGAAACTATTGCACCTTTAACCTGTACATACAGGGTGAGCAAAAACCTTTCACTTTAAGCAGAGTTTCCAGTTAACCTGTCCCATCAGCACCCAAATGCAAAAGCCATACGTTTATTTTTAAATAATGGGAATGTTAAGTCAACAACAAAATTCCATTTATCCAGTGCCTTTCACTTCAGGAGAAAATCCCATGGTGCTAAAAGACACAAGTAACGCGAGGGTGTGAAATCATCCACTCAGTAAAAACGGTTCCAAAAGCTAATATCTTCTCACTTGCTATGTCATTCCTTAAACTGAGTTCTGCAGATATGTTATCAAATGCAATTAAAAAAGTACTCAATAGTAATAAAAATTGAACAGTAAAAATGGGTAAGGGACAACATCTGAACACACCATCCAGAAACTGAATCTAGATTCACATCGCATATTTTTATTTTGAAAATTCTTAAATTGGGTATTAAGCTCTTTTTAAGAACGGTAGAAAACCAACGTGTAAATCAAGAATTTTACAAAATCTTAGCACAGTCAAATATTCAGACAATGGTCTTAAATGTTAAAACGTTGCAGTCACTGAGCCTCAATCTTCTCAAGTGCAAATGTACTGGGGCCTCACACCCACACAGATAACAAAAAGCATTTTATCGATCACCTTTACCATAGGAATGCTGAATTATAAATAACTCATCCCCTGCAACATATAATATCCATTAGCTCCCCAATACACACTGTATAATCCCTGTTAACTCTAGTATGAGACTCCTTCAACTCCCTGATACCAAGCTCCAAATGCTCGATATAATTCCAGACAACTCAAAACCAGGTTCCAAATAGCCAAATCCATCAGCCGAACAACATGTTGTGCAAACTCCAACTTGAGAATTTCAGAAAACTCATGACAGTGAATTGACAGCACATGTTAATGGTGATAATAATAATCCTTGCAATAGATATAGCGCTTTTCACATCTTCAAGACGTCTCAAAGTGCTTCACAGACTATACTGTAAAGTGAATTGACTGTATATTTGTGGGCGAAAACGCAGCAGCCGATTGCACACAGCAGCGTCCCCACAAACAGTCGTGGATTGAGTGACCAAATTATTTTTTTTTTGAGACATTATTACCCCCGGAAAAGTAATCTGCCAGTTGACTAACGACTGGGTTCCTTCTTGCTGCGAGGTAAATGTGAAGTAAGGAAACTTGCCCAACATTTGCCCACAAATATACAGTCAATTCACTTTACAGTGTGTTCTGTGAAGCGCTTTGGGACGTCCTCCCGACGTGAAAAGCGCTATATCAAATGCTATATCAAATTATTATTATTATTGCTGGGAATCAAACCCAGATCTCTCGCATGCGAGGCGAGTGCCCTAAACACTGAGCTCCAGGACTCCATGATCTGTGTAAAACTGGATTTGCTCGTTTACCTGCTGTCCAATGTGGAACTACCTGCGCGAGGATGTTACGTATTCTGTCTGGCCAAAGCTAATGTTCTGCTTCAATGGTGGCCAATCTTTTTGGTCGGACAACAAAATAAATATTTTTGATTGAATATTTCTGGATTTATACCAGAAATCAAGTGGGGGCGGGAGGGGGGGCCTTACCTCACCCTCACACTACCCATCATCAACCTTACCATCACCTCACCCACCTCCACCCCCTCACCATCCTCAACCCCATGCCACCTCCCAACCTCACCTCATCCCACCTGACCCTCACACTCCACCTCACCTTCATCCTCAACTCACCATCACCTCACTCTCACCCACACCCCCACCGGACTCACCCTCACCTCAGCCTCATCCCACCGCACCCTCATCACCCTTACTTCACTCACACCCTCATTTCCACATCCACCTCATCCCACCTCACCCTTACCCTCACTTCCCTCAAGCTACCTCACCTTCACCCCACCTCACCCTCACTCACCCCACCTCACTTCTCACTCCACCTCCACTCTCACCTAACCCTCAACCACCTACACCCTCACTCAATGCCACCCCACCCCCTAATCCCACCTCACCCTAAGCCCACCACAATTCACCCTCACCTCAACCCCACTCTCACCGTCACGCTCAACCCCACCCTCGTCACACCCTCACCTCACCCTTAACCTCAACTCATCATCACCTCACCCTTATCTATCCTCCATCTCACCATCACCTCATCCTCACTCCACCTCACCCCCATCTCAAGATCATCCTCATCCCAACTAACCCTACCCTCAACTCACCATTACCCCCACGTCACCATCACCCTCACCCCATCCTCAACTTCACCGCATCCTACCTCACCCTCAACTCACCTTCACCTCACCCTCACTCCAACTCACCTCATCCAACCCACACCTTCACCTCCAACCACATCCTCACATCCCCCTCACCTCAACTTCACCCCACCTAACCCTCACACTCTCGTGCTTCATCACATCTTCGAGACATCTCAAAGCGCTTCACAGAATATAATATAAAGTGAATTGACTGTATTTTGTTGGCAAAAAGCACAAAACATGCAGCTGTATAAGCACCTGATTTTTAAAAAAAAATCACACACAAGGAACCTGGGAAATGAAAAGGACAATTTTTAAAACAATAAAAAGCAACAACAAGAAGAAGATTACATTTGTATAGCGCTTTGCACGTCGGGAGGACGACCCAAGACGCTGGACAGAGTATAGCATTTCAGACCCAAGCTGGGGTTGAGGGGGTAAGGGAGGGGAGGGGAAGGGGGATGGGCGATGGCATGGTCGAAGAGGAGGGTCTTGAGGCGGGACTTGAAGGAGGTAGCGAGGCGGAGTGACTGGGGGATGGAATTCCAGAGGTTGGGGGTAGAGCGGCTAAAGGCTCTCCCGCCAATGGTGGGGCGGGTGGGTCGGGGGACGTGGAGCAGGCTGGAGCCGGCTGAGCGGGCGGGTTGGTAGGGGGTTAGGAGGTTGCAGAGGTAGGGTGGGGCGAGGCCATGGAGGGCTTTGTATGTGAGGACCAGGATATTGAACTGGATCTTCTGAAGGTTAGGGAGCCAGTGGAGTCGGGTGAGAGTGGCTAAGATCTGTTAAAGTAGGGAAGCAGAATCCCTGTGTGTTTTAAGAAGCGAAGATAATTTGATGCAGAAAGTAACAAACGTGGAGCGACCACTGGCTCAATGTGGCACCAGCAATAATCTGAGAACAATGTCTTCTTGTTATTCTCCCTCCTGCTCAGGACACAAACAACATGAGAACCAAGCGGTTACAATTCCACAAAGCATTGTACGGAGCCTTGCACAATACCCTACTTAGCGATAGAAAGAACTCGCCTTTTTATTGTGATTTATTATATTGAAAAATCTCAGGAGTTTTACACTGTTTGACTTTTCCCAGCAAACAGGGTAGCCATTGTTTTGCACATCTCAAATTCCCATCTTTGACCCCCCCCATCAGCTGTTGATCCAGCACACGTTAAGACCAATTTTCATATTAGAATACACATGCACTTGAGAAAACAAGTCTCATTTTTCTATTGTATTTTATTATATCCATGATTTTTGTATCGTGTGGCGAAAAGAAACTTGCCCCACATTTCTCCCTGCACGGGAATCAAACCCAGGTCTTGTCGCCTGAGAGGCGAGTGTTGTGATCACTAAGCTACAGGACTCCACATATATAGCATCCTGATTGAGCGTTTCACAATATTAGGGTTGAAAGCCGAGTAAAGGAAAAGACGGAGGAAAATGACCATATGTGTTGTCGAGGAGGTAGGATTTAAGGCAGGATTGATTTAGAGAAGGTGAGACAGAGTGATAGAGGGAGGGCGATCCTGAGGTTAGGATCACAGTGGTTTCTTCCCTTTGAGGAATCAGTGGCAAGGGGATATGGTCTCAGGATTATTAGCAGAGCGATTAGAAGCAATTTGGAGTCCTGTAGCTCACTGGTTAAGAGCGCTTGCCTCGCAAGCGAAAGACCTGGGTTTCAATCCCGGCAGGGAGAAATGTTGGGCAAGTTTCCTTACTCCACGTGCCTCTGTTTTCCTAGCAGTAAGTAGGAACCCGATTATTAATAGATTGGCAGATTGCTTTTCTTGGGGTAATAATTCCTTAAAAAAAAGATGACTTCAATCCTCCATTGTTTGTGGGACGCTGCTGGGTGCAATTGGCTGCTGCGTTTCACCCACAAAATATACAGTCAATTCACTTTACAGTTATATTCTGTAAAGCGCTATGAGGGGCGCTATATAAATGCAAGTTGTTGTTGAGACCATGTAAAGCCGTATAAGTGACCTTATGATGCAAATATGATGAACAGTGTACAACAGTGTGCAAGATGCTCTAGTTCAGTCTGATAAAGGCAAGATTTTAACAGCAGAATTAATTAAAAAGTCAAAACAAAAGGATAATTTAGAACAAAACGTTAGTATTGGCACAGATCATTTTGTGTGCTGAATTGTTTTGTTTTTATGGTTGGGCAGAAGTTTCATTCATTTATTCAATAAAATAACCCGCTTTCGCTGGACTAACTGTTCAACAACTTGCATTTAGACAACTCCTTTCACACAAAACAAACGTTTTGAACTGATTCACAAAATATTATGAGAAATAAAGTGAATAGTTTTACAGAGGTAAATGCAGCAATGAATCTTCCCCCAGCAATGTTCCACAAACAATGAGGTGAGTAGCCAATTCATTAGAATTTGGGGATAACATTTGGATCAGGAAGAAAATATAAATCAGAATGAACCAGGTTAAAAAAAACAACAGTCCACGTTTGGGTGAGGTTGCAAGAACAATTATCTTAATCACAGACAAAATGAACCTAAATCGAAGCCAAATTCAGAAGGATTGAACTGGAAATCTATGTAATAAAGCGGATTACTATATTAGCGGTAGTATTTAATCTAGAAGTCACATTATGTTGTGGAGTTCTACCAGGATCTAGTTCCTCCACTGACATAAAACGCAAACCTGAAACATGCAAGCACTCAGTCAATCAAAGTCGACCAGCAGCTCTTCATTGAATCTGGAGTCGAATGTAGAAGATTTGGGAATCTCCATTCCCACCGGAATACAGGTGTGTCTCAGGCCAATCCTTGAGCACTCTAATCCATCTTTAACTAAAGGGTGGCTTCTGCTATCTCCCTACCCTGGCTATTCAGCAGTTTTGCCCAACCACAGGCCCCAGTCTGGCCTCTCAGGAGGCTCAAATAACACCTCTCACTCTCTCCGTACAATTGCAAATTAGATGCAATTTAGATCTCAAAATACTCACCTTGTTTCTAAAATAATAATCAAAGAATCCTCTTCACAGCTACAAAAACATTCCCTCCTACATTACTTTCAGGAAATTTACAACATGCAAAGAGCACATAGATAACATTTACACGATGCTTTGCCCTCAAACGACTGCAAGAGAAAAAAAACGCCATGATCAAAGTTGTGACATTTGACAAAAAGCTCTCTTCCTATTCATGGTGAACCTACCAGGTACAGGCTCGGGGCTTTTTCTGGAGTTCAAGTGTTGAGATTCATTTTCATCTACCTCTTTCTCCTCCACTTCAGCAGACTCTTTGTCCTGCACCTCTTCTTCCTGGGCATCGCTGACAGAAGTGCTCTTACCATCATCCGCCTCCATGGCCTCTTGTGGAGATAAGTCTGTATCGGCAAGGGAAGGTGGCGACTCTACCCCAGCCTCTGTCCGGTGCTCGGCAACCTCCCCCTCAGTGGGTGATGGAGGCAGTTCCTGGGCTATACTTTCCAAGGGGCTAACCGACACCTCCCTCTCCTCAATGCCATTCACATCCGTATTGGTGACAGCCTCTGGGGAGACAAGTACTTCCTCAGGCAGATCTGTGTCCACTTGCTCTTTTTCACTGCTATCGTCAATTTCTGGATGCAAAACTAAGTTGGGGGCAGATTCCTCCTCCTCTTTGGGAAGAGATGGGGCTGTCTCATCAGTGGAATCGGAGGCTGGGAACACAGAGTCACTGGGAGCAGAAGTCTCCTCGGTCTCCAAGGGGGCAAAGTCAGGAGGTTCCTCTTCTGTCTCTTTCTTTTCTATGACTTCTTCCTCCCGGATGCCTGGTGACGTGCTTTTCACCACTGCTTCCTGCTTTGGTTTCTCATCTGTCAAAAAGCAACACCCATTAGTAGCTGTAGCCATGGGAAATGCATACATGTCTGCAACAATGGTAATTTGTATTCAGCACCATAAGGAAATGCAAAATACAAAGGTGCAATTACAGAAATGCAGTCAGGCCAACTTGCCTACAAATGAAGCAGTACACTCTTACCCCTGGAGTTAATTACTTTAATTCTAATTCTAATTCATTGCTCTTTCTCCACTGTATTTCACTGATGATAATAGCCTCTCTGCTGCCTTCGACACTGTTGATCACTCAATCCTCCTCCACCACCTCTCCTCTCACCTTCATGGTTCTGTTGTTGCGTAGTTCAGATCCTATCTCTCACACAGTCTCCACTTCATCTGCACAAACAGCTTCCCCTCTAGCCCCCGCACCGTCTCATGCAATGTTCCTCAGGGCTCTGTGCTTGGTCCCCTCCTCTTCAAAATGTATATGCTCCCTTTTGGTGACATCATCTGCAGACACGAGGTCAACTTCCACATGTATGCAGATGAGACCCAACTCTATCTCTCTGCCTCCACCCTTGACTCCAGGACCCACTGCTGTCCTGACAGAATGTCTGTCAGACATCAAGTCCTGGATGAGTGCTAACTTTCTTGTTTAACGACAAGACCGAGGCTCTCCTGATTGGCACCAGTCAGCGGCTCTTCACCTCAGGCGCTGACAGCATCACCATCCATGGTTGGACCCTCCACCTTTCTAAGCCAGTCCAGAACCTAAAGCCGATGAAACCCTCATGTACGCATTCATCACATCTAGACTCGACTACGCCAACTCCCTGCTTGTTGGCCTCCCCAACTCTTCCCTCCACAAGCTGCGGATCATCCAGACCTCTGCAGCTTGTGTCCTCTCCCGTACCAGGCTCCTTGACCCCAATCATCCCCATCCTCACCTGGCTCCACTGGCTCCACATCGCCCCCAGAGGATAGTGTACAAAATCCTTGTCCTCACCTTCAAGGCCCTCGATGGCCTCACCCCTCTCTACCTCTACGATCTGCTAACCCCATATCGATCTGTCCGCTCCCTTTGATCAGCATGCTGTGGCCTGCTCCATGTTCCCCGCCTGGACCCCCCACCTACCAACCCCAATCGGCGGTCAGGCCTTCAGCCTTTCTGTCGCCACCCTATGGAATGCCATCCCACATTCCCTTCGCCTTGCTCCCTTGCCTCCTTCAAGGCGTGTCTCAAAACCCTCCTCTTCGACTGCGCCTTCAGCCACCCTCCCCGATCCTGACCCCCAGCTCAGGTTCAAATCCCTGACTAACCAGCGCCTTGGTACGTCCTCCCGATGTGGAAGGTGCAGTACAAATTTAATTTTGTATTGTGTTGTAATAGCTCCTCCACTGGAGCTAACCACAAGGATTCCAATTCCCTGCTTTGTTTGCACCTTTTTATATTCTCCCTCTTCAAATACTGAACCAATTTCCTTTGTAACGTTTGTAATGTTTACTGCCTCACTTACAGCAAGACACGTTATAATAACCCTCTACCTGAAAAAGAAACTTACTTCCTTTCCTACTCTGTCCCCAACTTCTGGAACTCCATCCAGGAGTCCCTCCACCTCACCCCCTCCCTTGCCTCCTTTAAAACCCATCTCAAGACCTTCCTCTTCGACCTTGCTTTTGATCAACCTACACCCCCTCCCGCCCCCACTCTCTTGAATCCTGACTCCCAGCTTGGGTCCCAAACTCTGACTGTTCAACGCCTTGGGACATCCTCCCAACGTGAAAGGTGCTATAACAACATCAACAACAACTTGGATTTATATAGAGCCCTCCACGCCGGACGGCATCTCAGAGCGCTTTACAGTAACGGATCCCAGGACCAAGCCAGGGGGAGGGGGAGGAGCCAGGGGGAGGCGGAGGAAGGTGACCAAAGGCGCGGTCGAAAAGAAAGGTCTTCAGCAGAGACCTGAAAATGGGAAGGGAGGGAGCGAGACAGGGGGAGTGAGGAAGGGAGTTCCAGAGCCTCGGGGCATAGTGGCCGAGGGTGGAGGTCAGACCCGGAGGAACGAAGGCAACGGGTACTGTTGTGAGGAGAGAGGTCAGAGGTAGGGGGGTGCAGAGGAGTGCAGGGACTTGAATACAAGGGTGAGGATCTTGAAGTCGATCCTCTCTGGGATACAGTCTGACAAGGATTGGGGTGATTGGGGAACGGAGTTTCATGGGGGCGAGAATGTGGATGGCAGAGTTTTGAATGATTTGGATTTTATGGATGATAGTGGATGGGAGACCGGCGAGGGGGGCATTATAGTCCAGCTGAGAGGTGACAAAGGCAGGGTTTCAGCAGCTGTTGGGGAGAGGTATTGGCGGAGACGGGCATATAGACATGTCATTTTGTTGTTGTTGTTTTCTAACTGGATGAAGGTAGTGCAGTTGATGTAGTTTATATGGATTTTCAAAAGGCATTTGATAAAGAGATTTGTAACAAAATAGAAGCCCATGGTATTAAAGGGACAGTAGCAGCATGGATAAGAACTGGCTGTGAGACAGAAAGCAGAGAGTGGTAGTGAACGGTTGTTTTTCTGAGTGGAGGGAAGTGTGCAGTGGTGTCCCCAGGGACCACATTGGGACCACTGCTGTTTCTGATCTATATAAATGACCTGGACTTGGGTATAGGAAGTACAATTCCCAAGTTTGCAGATGATATTAAGTTAGAAAAAGTATCAAACAGTGGAGGATAGTAGCAGACTGCAAGAGGACATAGACAGACTGGTAAAACGGGCAGACATGCAGCAGATGAAGTTTAATGTGGAGAAATGCAAAGTGATTCATTTTGTGAGGAAGAATGAGTGGCAATATAAGCTGATGGTACAATCTTAAAGGGGGTGAAGGAACAGAGAGCCCTGGGGTTCATATAAGTAAATCTTTGAAGGTGGCCGGACAGGGAGATAAAGCTGTTAAAAAAGCATACGGGATATGAGGCTTTATAAATAGGGGCATAGAATACAAAAGTCAGGAAGTTATGATGAACCTTTATAAAACATTGTGAAGGCCTCAGCTGGAGACCATGTTCAGTTCTGGGCCCCACACTTTAGGAAGATTGTCAAGGCACTGGAGCAAAGGAGATTGACCAGGATGGGACCAAGAATGAGGGCCTTCAGTTATCAGGAGAGGTAGAGAAGCTAGGGTTATTCTCCTTGGAGCAGAGAAGATTAAGAGGAGACTTAATAGAAGTTTTCAAAATTATGAGGGGATTCGAGAAGAGTGAACAAGGAGAAATTATTTCCACTGGTGGGTGGGTCGGTAACTCGAGGACACAGATTTAAAATAGTTGTTAAAAGGAAGAGGGGAAGTGAGGAGAATTTTTTTCACACAGCGAGTTGTTGAGATCTGGAATGCATTGCCTGAAAGGCTGGGGGAAGCCGATTCGATAACAACTGTTAAGACAGAAGTAGATAATTATGTGGGGAGAACAAGTTTGCAGGGCTATGGGGAGAGCGCGGGGAAGTGAGTTTGATTTAGAAGCTCTTTTCAAAGAGCCGGCACAGACACGATGGGCCGAGGCCTCTTTGTGTCCTGTATAATTCTATGATTCTGCGAATGCCTTCAGTGCCGAACATCAATAATAAAACTCCGGGTTCCTCATTCCTATTATGTCTGATTTCCTTCCTGAATGGAGTTCCCCCACTCAGCGTGTTATACCATTAGTGGATGGAGCCTCATTTGTGGCTGAAAGTGCTTATGAAATGAGAAATTTCTGACTTTTAAACAGTATCACACATTTAATCTTTACTATTTCTTTAAGCTAGGAGTGCCCCATACCTGCTTTCAGCTTTATAAAATCAGCTTCAGTCCGTCCCACTGAAACAAAACAGAAACAAGTCATGCACCAACAAACTTTGCTTGAACGTTATGCAATCACATCTGCTATTTGACCGTTTTCTGTATTGAAAAATCCATTTTACATTTGCCCAGAATACTTAAAAATATCTAAAATGTCTCCAATTTAATCAGTGGGATTTCTCACTAAGCTGGGCATCATTCTGCTCAGCTTATCTTTATAGTTCCACAGCTACATCAATCTCACCAGTAGAACGAGCTTTTAAGACAAGCTGTTCATTTTATATACATGACACTGTGCACAGAACACTGCAGAGAAAATAATAATAATAATCCTTGCATTTGATTATAGGGCCTTATCACATCTTCAAGACGTCTCAAAGCGCTTCACAGAATATACTGTAAAGTGAACTGACTCTTTATTTTGTGGGTGAGACGTGGCAGCCAATTGCGCACAGCAGTGTCCCACTGGATTGAGTGACCATATTTTTTTCTTTGAAGGGATAACTCCACTGAGTATATTAATTTCCCAGAATTTGTGAAGCTGCAGCAATTGTGGTATAAACTAATCAAGTCCAGTGGATAATAATAACAATAAATAATAACAATAATAATGATTAACAATATAGTAACAATAACAAAAACAACGCCAGTAACAATAAATAATAAGGAGAAAGTCCATATGGAGTTAAGACCAAAAATAAGCCACACCTCTGGGGAAAGAAAATCACCCATGTCTCTGGGGGTGAATAATGTTGAATAGCACACAATCTAATCTGCAGTGTTAATAACTGAACAAAACCAATGTCATGCCTTACCTGTTGTCATCAGGTGAAGTTCATTTCACTTTTTAATCACCATTAATGGATACATTCTATTTACAGAAGATTATATGGTTATACGTGGCTGTCAGGTAACCTTGTGAAGGTTCTGCCTGATATTGCAGAAAACTGAACAGACCAGAAGGTTTCAGATTGGATTCTGCTCTGGGCCCTATTAACTAGGCAATAGAATTAGCTTTCAAGCTTCTGGAAGTAACCTCAAGAAAGGAAATTGTGAGTACTTTGTAGATCAAATAGAAATCTGTACCTTTACTGTACACAACAATACAGGCTATTACCTGCCGGTTAATGAGATGTAGAATGATGAGAGTAACGAAGGCATTTGTGTATTATTATAGCACTTTCATATCAAAAATCCTCGAAAGGACCTAGCAAATGATTACCATCAAAAGTAGTGACTGTGTTTGTACATACATGCCACAGCTCTTAACCACAGCAAAGTCCAACACCTAAAAGTGATTATTTNAAAAAACACCTGGTCCATCCGCGTTCCCAAGGGTTCAGTAGGTTTATTCCCCCCCAGCTCGGATTTGTGCTCTGTACTGTCAAACACTTTGGGACAGTACATTGCGTGACGGGCGCTATATAAATATAGAAGTCCTTTGAGTAGCTGGAACAAAAAAAGCAGAAAGTTGCAGCTTCAAATTCAGTTAAGTGAACTCAGCTGACGCATAAGTGAGAGGCTTAACTGAACCCAGGTGAGGGAATGGGGAACAGAAAAGTTTTCTAGGGGTCTTGATCACTATCCAGTATCCATTGGGGTCAAATAGCTGGCTGACTCCTTGGTACAGGAGGGCAACAGGAGGTGCCTGCAAAACTGCACCTCCAGAAGGCAGGAGAAGGGAAGGGAAGAGAAAGAAAAACATTCTTCAGTTCAAGACTCAATCTAAAAAATGAATACATTTCACCCTTTGTGACCCATATTGTACAATGTGATAAACGGCTTGTTTGCTTTATCAAGTCGAAAAAGTGTTGACTCTCCAGGGGAGTATTTTGGATGTACTGAATTCTTCAAACACATCACATGCGATCCTGTAGTTTCTTCCATTGTCCACTGATAAATTGGGCAGGAGAGTTGGGAGCTTGCAGGGTGTGTTGGCTGATGTTTACGCCTACAAATACTTAGTCACTACACTGGACAGTGGGTGCTTCGAAATGTTTCAACATTCTCCGCACTATATCAAACGAAAAGATTATTTTTCCAACAACATACCAAAGAGCCCAACGAACCTGGCTTGAAGTCCACACTGGGCTGCAGGTTCTCCCCGGCTCCAAATGCTGGAGTGTGATCTGCCATCTGACTGGGCAGCTGCTGGGATTTGAGGTACAACAGGTGAGGATAATGAGGGTGCGGACATAGAAACTAGCACATGGAACACGCAACAGAGAGGGTGAGGGAGCGGCCCAGATGTTCCCCGTGAAATCCCACGGGCGGCCAACAAGTTCAAGAGAAAAAATAAAAAGCAAAACCAAGAAGATGGAGTAAGCAGGATTGAGAAGGAAAAGAAAACAGGATTACTATTAACAGCAAGAAAGGACAACTGACAGACCTGTATTGCTGTGTGCTCAGTGTTCCCTTTAAGAATCAATTTTAGTTACTCAAGATGGGGAGATTCTAGATAAAATTTATGATTCCATTATTCAATAACCTCTAGAAATTCTGAATCAGGTGGCTATTTATTGACTGTTTGCTATTGATCTAAGACCTAATTAGGAAGTTATAGTGCAAAGCACTAGAACTGAGAGCTTAAAATATAATAATCCTTGCATTTGATATAGCACTGCTCACATCTTCTAGACGTCTCAAAGAGTTTCACAGAATATATTATAAAATAAATTGACTGTATATTTGTGGACGAAACATGGCAGCCAATTCCGCACAGCAATGTCCCACAAACAGACGTGAATTGAAGTGACCAATTTATTATTTCTTGAGGAATTATTATCAGTGGGTGGAATAAGGAAACTTGCCCAGGGTTTTGGCTTGCCAGGAATCAACCCCAGGTCTCTCGCTTGCGAGATGAGTTCTCTAACCACTGAGATACAGGACACAAACAGACAATCAAGCAAAGCTCTCAGCTTAAGAGCTTTGAGCTGGCTGTAGATTGTTGAGCTTTACAGTGTTGGAAATCATGGAATCGGTCTATTTTGGATTGATTACGTGGACCTAAACCTGCACATGAAGAATTACTACAGCTCAGTTTGCGTTAAGTGCAATAGCTCTTCCCACTGAGCATTAATTGTCTGTCGGACATAAAGTCCTGGATGAAAGCTAACTTCCTGCAGTTGAATGTCAACAAGACCGAAGCCCTCCTGCTTGGCTCCCGCCAGCGCCTCCGTACCTCGGGCACTCATCCTCATGGATGAGGGTACCTCATCCTCCATAGATGCACTCTACACCTCATGGAGCCAATAAGGAACTTCGGCGTCCTGTTCGACCCTTAACTGTCCTTCATCCCGCACATCCGTGCAGCATCTCCCGGGTCCGCCACTGCCTCACACCACAGGCCGCCGAGATCCTCATATATTCAGGCTCATTAATAATATCCAGGCTTGGCTACGCAAACTCCCTGCTTGTCGGCCTCCCCGATTCCTCCATTCATAGGCTGCAAATCATCCAGAACTCTGCAGCCCATGATCTCTCCTGAATCAGGCTCCGCGACCCTATCACCCCCATCCTCGCCCAACTCCACTGGCTTTCCATCACACAGAGGATACAGTTCAAGATCCTGGTCCTCACTTTCAAAGCGGTCCATGGCCTCACTCCCCCCTAACTCTGCAACCTCCTAACCCCCTACCATCCTGCCCGCTCCCTCCGCTTAGCGGCCTCCGGCCTGCTTCACACTCACCACCTCACCCACCATTGGCGGGCGTCCTTCTGCCACTCTGCCTCCACTGTCTGGAACTCCATCCAGCAGTCCCTCTGCCTCGCCCCTCCCTCGCCACTTTCAAGACCCTCCTCTTTGACCGTGCTTTCGATCACCCTCCTTCCCCCCCGCCCCTAAACCCTCCCCGACCCCGGGTCCGAAATACTGATTGTTCAGCGCATTGAGACATCCCCCCGACGTGAAAGGAGCTATACAAATACAATGTCTGTTGTAACAGACATGATACAATCAGGTTTAGAGTTCTTGTTGATCGGGAAAGGAGGCTGATGGGCACGGAGATAAGCAACAATGTTTTTTTAAATAGAAAACAGTAACTCTGCGCTTCCCACTACGGGGAAATGAGAATATTTTAGAATTTAAAACTAAATGAAGCAAATTATTCCTTAAGGAGGAGATATGAAAATTAGCCAAGAACAGGAATGGATACAGAGCGGGGGTTGGGGTGGGGAATCTCAGAGCTGGCTTTAGCTGCACAGTACAGTACAGAACTGAACACATAACTAAGGCAGTCGTTGCACAGTGCAACTGATATTGACTTCATTCAGTCAAGGGCTTTGCTTCTGTACCAGACTGCAGGTGGAGCACTTCAACAAAAGGTTAGAGCCAGCTTTGCATACAAGTGCATTCACTCCCCTTATTGTTATGGAGCAACACTAAAAACATCTGAGGCCCAAATTCCTGCTGAAGGAATGTGTTAGGGAGGAAACGCCAAACTGAGGAGGTATAAATGCAGGCGAGCCGACCACGATGAGGTGTTAACACCCCACAGGCTAAATTAAACGGAAGTTTTCTATCTATAATTTACATCTACCAAAATGGCAAGAAGTGTTTTGTGGGTTTGAAGTTCAATAGAAAGCCCTCCAAATACTCTTCAATCCTGACATGGAAGGTGATCTTTTCAAAGTCACTTATACCAAATGTTTAAAATGTTTTGAAAAAAAACAGGTCCACTTCTGACGAGCAGATCAGGTGGTCTGGGTTTAAGCCTAAATTGGTATAGTTTGGGCTCTCGCTGGCAGATGTGGAGCGTTTACAGGCTTACTCTCAAACTTCAAGGGCATTTCTCACCTTCCCTCTTGATGTGTTAAGCACCTTACGACTTCCTTGCTTGGACCCCATTATAGGTACTGTCAATGTGTTGCTTTCAACTTTAGCCGTGTGGTCTGGACATTCCACTCCTGAGCATCTCTCTTTCTCATTAAAATAACTCTCTGTGTGCGTATATATATATATATTATGTTTTGAGATTCTTCTTCAGAATTTAGGGTGTTTTTATTATTGTGTTGTATATGGAAAATTATACAACTTTTTATATGAAGAAAAACTGATTCCTATAACTTAGAGGGAACACAATCCAGTGCACACAACGTTAGAAGACAGACGAGCGGTTACAGTTCAATACAACACGACACACAGACAACACTTGAAACGAGATGTGTAAGCACACAGTTCAGAAAGCTTTGCTCCTGCAAAATTTCAAATCCATTGCGGCTTGGAACAGAATCAAAAAACTACGGGGCTTTCTAAAGAAAACACACCCAACCAATGTGGGAGCTCTGATTAGCACTAAAACTCAACAAGTGTTTGCATTGAGAACTTATATCCCATTTGGGATGACATTTGTAATTTGATGATTTGATGTCTTGTAACCAGATTTATTCTATAAAGGCCACGTTTGGCATGGAACCGACTGGAAGGATACAAACAGCTGTTACAAGCTTTAATATGACAAAATTGCACATAACCTGGACAATATCCGCAAACACAAAGTACAACACTCCAAAGAACCTCAAGGTAATTAATCAAGGTTGAAATAAAACCTCTTTAAAAAAGTTAGCTGCTAATTTACACACTGATCTGGCTTTACATTATCGCTAAATTTATGGACACAGTAAACCTGTAGACAAACCTCTATGAAATTTGTGCAATCAAACATTTCAATTTATTATAAAGATATTTGCCTTGGACTCAATCATCTCAATCGCTTGAAAGCATTATTTAGTTTAGCGCCAGGCAATTAGATTGTGATGGGCACAGTTTTGAATCAAGTGAGTGCTGAGTTTCTACTCTCAGGCCAACAGTTGGGGCTGAAATTGGGCTCAGTATCCCTGGAAAAGTTTTTTTTGGGGGGAAGGAGTGAAGAAAAATCAGCCACGGCTCCTCAACGCTATCTGAATGTGTCCTGCCCAAGCAATCATGACAATAGAAGGTCGCAAATAATTTAGAAAAAGCACTTTGGAGTGAATTAAAATGCACGTAAGAAAATATGGTTGACAACTTTTAGTTAAAACTGAGTCTCACACACTGTGACTTTGTGAAAGGAAAATGTCCGGCATGCAAGGTACCTGAGGAGGGGTTGGGGTGGAACTGGGCCGTACCACTGGAGGGGTGGGGTTTCTGCTTCCCCCACCTCCTGACATAATTTCTTCTGTGATATCCTTTCCTCCCTGGTTTGGGTCTCGGATTCGAATCTGCACCAACAGAACAGAAGGACATGCTTAAAGGAATAGCCAACGGGCAACGAGTGCTGTACTGCTGCTCCTCATAACACATACATGCAATGTCACAAGAGTAAACCTTTCCCAGTGAGAAGGGAGAGTCACCAAATACATTGAAGAAACTTTCACTGCTGCGCAGTCTTTTGGGTAGGAACCAGCTCTGAAACCAATTACAAATATTTGGCAATTCTTTCGACTATGTATATCCCAATCCCCTCCAGCATTACGATAGTGTGGAGGCAAAGGAATAGACCAAAAACACATGTCCCAGCACTGTGTGCAGAGATTAAGCACACAAATTGTACGCACAGTTTGAACAAGGGAGAAAAATAACTTATTAGTTACATTATAGAGGCTTCACAATGACTTGGATTTACCAATTGAGCTGGGGATCAGTCCTAGTAGATTTAAAGTCAATGATATGGCTTCCCGTGTGCCAACAATCAGGAGTCCTGTACCTTAGTGGTTAGAGCACTCGCCTCGCAAGCGAGAGGGCATGGATTCGATTCCCAGGCAGCGTGAAACATCGGGCAAGTTTCCTTATTCCACATGCCTGTTTACCTAGCAGTAAATTGGAACCGAGTTATTAAGTCGACTGGTGGATCGCTTTTTTGGGGGTTATAATGTCTTTTGGAAAAAAATTAAGTTGGTCACTCAATCCATGACTGTTTGTGGGATGCGGCTGTCCACAATTAACTGCTTAGTCAATCCACAAACGTTAAGTCAATTCACTTTATGGTATATTCTGTGAAGTGCTTTTGAGATGTCTCGAAGACATAAGGAGCTATATCAAATGAAAGATTATTATTATAGCTGGGCTCCTACTGCCATCCATCATTCTCATGAACTGAACTTTAATTTCCAGGAAAGCCAGTACAAGTGTAATATTTATCCAGGAATGTGCTTGATTGCTTAAATTACCTGGATGTGGAGACTCCATAATGCTGACCAAATAATTAAGAGTGCGCCATGAATGGATAGAACTGCGTCATCATTCGTTCATTCAACTGTATAGCTAATCTGGTTTATCTAAGATTACATGTAGTTATCTTTCAGCTCATAATAAACCCCATTCATGCAGCATCAACTGGGATGAATGTGTAAAAAACACATCTACTTGGAAAGTAAAGGTGTTGAACGGTATGGAGAAAAGCCGGAGAAATGGGATTAAAAGAATAAATTGGCGGAAGAAGCTTTGCAGGATTAACATTCTCCTTCAGTTCCTGGGGAATTTGGTATTAACTTTATAACAGGAACAACTGCTCTGAGCTATTGCTTGCACTTCTGCATTTCTGTGAGTACCAGCGTAGAATGGAGGAGTATCCACTCCTAAACTCCCTTCTCCTTCACTCAAATCACTGCACAAGCTGCCCTCATGGAGAGCCCTTGAGGTTTTCACAAAGAGGGCTGAAAGAAGAACAGTTTAGTGAAATTCCAAATTGGAACTCTGTTACTATAGTTCTCTCTTTATGCCCAATTACTAACCAAGGGATGGGGGTGGGGAGCAACCATAGGCACGGTCGGAGATGGGTCTTTAGGTGAGATATAAAGGTAAAGAGGAGGAGAGCTGGAGGGATTGAAGCAGCAAATTCCAAAGATGAGCAGAGTGGCTGAAAGAACAGCTTCTGATGGCTCACAGGGTGGGGGAGGTCAGCAGACGGCATCCCTCAGTTAGCTGAGTGAAAGTAAGGGTGGGGAAGAGAGGGGTGGAGGACCATCAGGTCACAGAGGACGGGAGCTCCTAGGGAGTGAATGGATTTGTATGTGGGGGCGAGGACTTTGAAATTGATCCTTTCGGACAGAGGGAGCCAATGGGGGTGTGGGGTGGGGTACCAGTGAGAATTTTGTATTAGTTGGATCTTTTGGATGGTGGAACTGGGAAGACCAGCAAGGAGTGGGTTTGGGGACTCAAGGCGGGAGGTGACAAAGGTAATGGTGGGAGGGGGAGGAGGAAAGAAGGAGGTGAGCTCCTTCCCAGCAAATCATTATCATCTATCGTTCAACAGGCTATTAAGTTCACGTAGCCAGGTATAGTTCTAGGTTCCAAACCAGTTTATATTTTAAATCTTGGCCATCAAGCTACTTGTGTGACCACGTAGCATAGGACTGGGTCTGTGCCAATCTGATGGGAGGGACTCAAAGGCAGTAGCCTAGGCTGGTGCATCCCTCCTGTTCTACGACAGACCCATGAGATAAATTCAACTTATGGCCATTTGCAGGACAATACCCTTGAGTATTGCTGTGTGAAAAATTGTATACAAATGCTCACCTCAGAGTCACAACAATTACCTGTGAATCACTGTGTGCCATTTTGATTTTGTATTAAAGGCAAAAGTGTTATTATTATCTGGAGAGAGATTTACGCTGAGTTGGCGTCTGACCCCATGGGCCATAGTATGGATAAAATTTGGAAAAGCTAGTCAAGGGTATTGAACAATCTGTTGGAAGCAAGTGGACTCTGCACTACATTGTCTTGTTAATGGCAGGACAGTAGAGGTGGGCGATATTAATGCCAAGTTCCTAAAAGCTGTTCTGGGTGAAGAAGTGGGTTATGTGAAGGGTCTTATATCAATATACTACTCCTCTTGCGGCTGCCTAAACCCTGGTGAATAGAATCATGTCTGAGGCGTTGTGCTAATTATGGTATCTGTCTACAAGAAGGCCGTAATACAACTGCTGAGAATGAGAGGAATCTCACCGATTTCAGTGGCTTTTAAAAGAGTGCTTTGAGTAGTTACAACACTTATATTTTGTTAGAGGCAATACATGGTCAAATCTTGGAATTTGTCCAGGATGTGTATTCCATGTTCAAAATTTGTTTAAGGGTCCAAACAGGGCAAACTCTCGAGCAAGTCAAGATTGTCACCATCACCCACTGCCAGTCAATGTATTCATCAATGTACTGGATTGCACCGAGCAAGGGTTTGGAGTGTTCTTGATAGACTTGCTCACCTAAGGCACTACAACAACATTTTGAACACTGGACCATTTGGTGGGTGTCCTCAAATGCACTGGTATGTTTACATGGCGGGAAATGGGACCTCGAGAACTATCAATTATCTGATACAAGAGGCGCTATCCCTACTATTAATTCACATCAGCATCAGGAATGCTCGATAATAACTTTTGCTTGGAAACTGTGCTTTGGACCTGCACTGAGTACGAATAAAGGGCATGCTGGCTGTTCTCATATATGCCTTTTTAAACAGCTCTCCAGATTTTGGAGGAGGGGGGAAACTGGTAGTAAAAGGAGAACAGCTGTAGGCTGTAGCTAACACTTTCAGAACAGAACTTCAGGCCCCAAAACAAGGCAGTTTGTATTGCACCATCAAACTTTCACACTTTCTGCACAAGACTTAATGAAGCAGCTAAATGGAGGAATGCGGTCACCAAAGAATGGAACTTTTCAACAAGACAATTTGCAAGCTAAGAATAAGGCTAATCCTGTGCTCCTGTCCCGGCCCCGCGCGCCTGTCCCGGCCCCGTGCGCCTGTCCCGGCCCTGTAGAAAGAATAGAGAGAGGAAGCAGCATGTTGACTTGCCGTACCGTTTTCTTTTCCCTCTTGGTTGGAGGCGGAGGTTGTTGTGTAGGCACTATCAAAGGTGCAGATGGGGAATACACAGGTTGGCTATAATAGGATGGTGCTGGTAAGAGAAAGAAGACTTGCATTGAATTTTGCCGTCAAATCAACAACCAACGTCAAATTTCACATGCTCACATTTTTGCGTATATATAACAGGACGCTGAGGCAAAGAAGGCAATGTCTCCTAGTAGAACATCATCAAATAAGCTATTGAATCAGTTACAAAACATCCATATATTCCTAAAGTGCGGAAACACAATGGTTAAAAGCCACTGAAAAGCTTCAATGCCATCAGCTTGAATTTCCCCCAAGCGACTCCCAATTCCAAACATACAGCTTTCCATGTTGTAACCGTCTTAGAATTCCCAAAACACACCCAAAGTGCAGCAAGTTAACAAACGCTTCATTTCATCAAATATCCTCACTAAGCAGCAACACGTTAGGTCTAAATACCCACGAGCAACAGAAGTAAGCAAGATTTTTTTTTGAAAGATTGAATTTTAACCGCTGATAAGGAGTTAATCAGGAAACGTGTACACCAAGCTCAGCCTGAGCTGAGACTCCTGTGCAGTATTGTGCAGAGCTGCATTGTCACCTCTGATGTTCTTCAGGTGAGATGTTAAAACCGAGTTTTCCATGTTCTTGAGGAGGACACGAAAGATATCATGACACTAGTAGGGAAAAAGAATGGGGTTTTGTCCGGTATTACGAGCAACAATTCTCCACATTAATCAGTTACCTTATGGCTGTGTGCAAGATGACTGCTGTATTTGTCTAAATCTATGCAGTCACTACACTTGGCAGCAATAATCTGAGAAGCGCTTTGACAGAGATTCATTTCTATCAAATGCAAGGATTATTAAATTGCCAGTACCCCATACTGGACACAGGGTAATAACATCCAGACATTTACCTAGAATGATGCAACCCAGGAATTTGCAACACACACGCAAATCAACTTGTTCTTCAAGTAAATGACCTTCAAACCTTGCCGACATAGGACTGGCTGATGCTCAACACCATGTTCCCACAAAGTCAGACACAGGCATTAGGCCAAACAGGGCAGCACTAGACGATCTCCTCCCTGCTCGCTCAGCAACCCCCCAACTCCGACAGGACCTTTGTCCAGGATCTTATTGCACAATGAGCCAACAATGTAACAGCTTGAAAAAGCATTCAGGAAACAAGTGTGAATTAGTCTTATTCATCCCTTTATTTTCACAGAAAACGTTTTATTAGTATTCCAAATTCAACTGAATTTCAAGCACTGTGCCAACTGCACAGAGAACAGATGTGGTTGTTGTATCAGCTTGGCTCAATCAGTACCACTCTCATCACTGGGTCAAATTGACAAAAATAAAAGCCAATCTATAGAGAATTTACATCACAAAATAATAATAATCCTTGCATTTGATACAGCGACTTATCAAGTCTTCGAGACGTCTCAAAGCGCTTCACAGAACATACTGCAAAGTGAATTGATGGTATATTTTGTCGGTGAAAGTTGGCAGCCAATTGCCCACAGCAGTGTCCCACAAACAGTTGCGGATTGAATGAACCAAATTATAATTTTTTTGAAGGCATTATTACCTCCGGAAAAGCGATTTGCCAATCGACTAACACTCGGGTTGCTACTTACCCGGGTTAGTGAGAGGACCCGGGTTTCATTACCGGGCAGGCTGAAACGTTGGGCAAGTTTCCTTACTCCACACGCCTCGGTTTACCTAGCAATAAGTAGGAAGCCGGTTGTTAGTCATTTGGTGGATTGCTTTTCTAGGGGTAATAGTCCCTTCAGAAAAATAAATGAAACAATAATAATTTGGTCACTCAATCCATGACTGTTTGTGGGACACTGCTGTGCGCAATTGGCTGCCACGTGGAAGCCCTCGGGCGTTCTCACTGAGCACCAAACTTGGTAGGGGGGTGGGAGAGAAATGAGGATATGACCAACGTATATAACAGAGAGGTACCCACATCCAACATAATCACAGTATATAACTGTGCGCAATTGGCTGCTGCGTTTCGCCCACAAAATATAGTCAATTCACTTTACAGTATGTTCTGTGAAGCGCTTTGAGGCGTCTCGAAGACCTGATAACCGCCCTATCAAATGCAAGGATTATCATTATTACGAAGTTAAGAAAGGAAAACGAAACAAAGCAGTTAGAAATTAATCCACAAACGAGGAAGAGTGGAGAAGTCAGGAGGGAAACCAGGGTTGCTTCTCCCAAACATTATTTCCTGATACAATGTGTGTGTAGATGTTAGGAGAGGATCAGGGACTGGCTGTGATGACGCAGCCCGTGGGTGTCCTGCCAATCATCACACAAGAATAGCTGTTTGATGAGCAAGCAGAAAAAAATGGAGCTTAAAGTCTCACCCAAACGCCAGTATTGCCAACATTACAGTCTCCCTAATACTGTGCTGCAGTGCTCAATCTAGACTGAGTTCAACATCCAAAGCTGGTCTAGAAGTCCACCAATTTGGTTTGCTGACTTTTTAAAAAAATAATTGCATACCTGTAGTATTAACATCGCTCTCCCCACCCCCACCCATCATCCATCCAATGCACAGACTTGATGGACCAAGCGACTTCCTGTGCTGAAAATTTCTGTTTGATCCTTGCTCTCAATGGAGCACTGTTCACCTACTCTCACGAAGAACATTCAGATGTCCTGCCAATACACATCCTCAGCTCCTGAAATCCCAATGCTAACAGGAATTTAGTCAACAATAGCTTCCCAGTTCCAATCTCTCCTTCCCCTCACCCCTCATAACCCTTCTTGCTGACACTTAGTCATTCATTTTCTATTAATTGGCCAACTGACTTGCAGCTTTCACATTAAAAGACTACATCAAATTGAGAGCTTTACAAAGTCCTCTGCAACACCAGTTCCAAAAAAGGTTTAACTTCACAATAAAAACTAAGTAGCCATAGCTCCAAAACATAAAAAAAATCTGAACTGTATTGAAAGATTTCAATTCCTTATTTAAAAATATATTTGGAATTAGGATGTGGTTCACTAAACCAAAGAGTACAGAACAAAGTAAAACTTACTCCATTACTGACTGCAGTGACTTTCTCACAGATGCTTCATTTGTTAGGATCAGGAGAGTCAGCTAATTTCTGTTGCCGATTTAAATTAGTGAAATAACTTTCGCTCCACAGAGTTGCAACATGCAATTGCAATATTCTGTGCTGCATTCCTGAATGTCACACACAAGGAACTACAAAGATCACGACATACACAAGGACAGGAAGTGCGATGCCCGAATGCAGACCCAGAGCATGGCAACTTTCTGCATTTCAGGGAGATTTCCTCTTTGGCATATAACCAACATTTAAAAAAAAAGTGAATTCAAATATTACTGGCTTTTAGCCTATCTGCCCCCGCTCTTTGGAACTCCATCCCATAGGCCCCCCCAACTCCCTCCCCTCGTTCAAGGTCCATCTCAAGATCTACTTTATTGATAGCACAGTTGGTCCTTCGATCGTATCTCTCCCTCCTCCCTCACCGCCATCGTTCGCAAACTCAAACCCAACACCTGCTCCCTCGATCCCATCCCCACCTTTCTCCTCATCTTCCAGCTCCACTTTCTGGCCCCTCTCCTGTCCGACATCATCAATCTCTCCTCGTCCACCGGTTCAGTTCCCATTCCCCTAAAAACAGCCGTCATCACCCCCTTCCTGAAAAAATCTTCCCGGGATCCATCCCTCCTCTCCAGCTACTGCCTCATCTCTAACCTCCCATTCCTCTCCAAGGTCTTGAAACGTGTCGTCGAGTCCCAGCTCCGCTCCTTTCTTTCTAGCCATTCCCTCTTTGAACCCCTCCAATTCGGCTTCCGCATTGCCCATAGCACAGAAACAGTCCTGGTCAAAGTCACTAGTGACTTTCTGAACGTCAGTGATCAGGGCTCCGTCTGCCTCCTTGCCGCCTTCGACACTGTCGACCACTCCATCCTCATACACCGCCTCTCCTCTTTACTTAATCTTCGCGGACCTGCCCTTGCCTGGATCGAATCCTATCTCTCACTGTCTCCACTTTGTTGTCTCTAATGGTTTCTCCTCCAGCCCCCGCACTGTCATATCTGACGTCCCCCATCGCTCTGTCCTTGTCTCCTCTTTAATATCTATATGCTCCCCCTTAGTGACATCATCCGCAGACATGGGGTCAACTTCCATATGTATGCGGATGACACCCAACTCTATCTTTCTGCCTCCACTCTCATCCCCCAAACTCTTGTTCATGCTTTCATCACCTCCAGGCTCGACAATGCAAACATCCTGCTTGTCGGCCTTCCCAACTCCTCCCTCCACAGGCTGGAGATAATCCAGAACTCTGCAGCCCATGTCCTCTCCCGCACCAAACTCTGTGACCCCATCTCCTCCATCCTTCCATTCTCGCCCGACTCCATTGGCTCCCTATCCTTCAGAGAATCCAGTTCAAGATCCTGGTCCTCATCTACAAAGCCCTCCATAGCCTCGTCCCACCCTATCTATGCGACCTCCTAAACCTCTACCAACCCGTCCGCTCCCTCTGCTCAGCCAGCTCTGGCCTGCTCCACGTCCCCTGACCCACCCGCCCTACCACTGGCGGGTGAGCTTTCAGCCAATCTGCCACCATCCTCTGGAATTCCATCCCCCAATCACTCCGCCTCGCCCCCTCATTAGCCTTCTTCGAGTCCCGCTCCAAAACCCTCCTCTTCGACCATGCCATCAGTCACCCCCTTTCCCTCCCTCTCCCTGACCCCAGCTCGGGTCTGAAATACTGTACGCTGTCCAGCACCTTGGGACATCTTCCCGACGTGAAAGGCGCTATGCAAATGTAATCTTGTTGTTGTCATCTCCCCTACCCCCCCCCACCCCCACAGCTCAGAGGTCCAACCAGAATTAAGTGCCTGAAGTGAAAGGCGCTATATAAATGTAAGTTGTATTTGTGCAAAACAACATCACGGTGTTTTAAATATCAATCCTCAACTTAAAAATTTACTACAAACATAAACAATAAATGCTACGTTGCGTTAGGCAGTTCAAGTTACGTGGTAGAAGTAGCACATGTGATAAGGCGTTATATCAAATGCAATTATTACTCTAGTCAGATACAAACACCAAAGTAATTATGGCACAACAGAATAAAACTTCACATGGACTATACAATGATGTGCACCACTGCAAAGCCGGGCTTCACTTCAGATGGCGGGATCTGCTCTTGTTGGTTATGTCACTGACGCTCTGACATTACTGCTGAAAATCTGTTCCAGGGTGTCAGTTCCCTCCTCCCTCCTTGTGTCCATAGAACAAAACAGTGAACATGCTTTCTGTCAGTCAACAACGTTCTAATAGAATTACCGGGTTCCTGCAGTGTGCACAGCATGTAACACAGGTTGCTGTCAGTATCTACCTAGAAATGCACTGCCAGCAAATGACAAGCCCAGTAAAACCTCCCTGTGAAATTTGTACATATTCTCCAACAGCTCACTAAAATTTTAAATGTTGACAAATAATGTTTTGATATGCTGTAAACTGTTTAGTAGGAATAAATCTATCAAATATTCTGTATTATATGTTAGCAAGGGAACTACTCCCTGTTCACGGAAAGCCTGCTGTAGATGTGAATGTAGTCTACAAACCTTTCCACCCTGACCTGTTTTTTCCCCACTCTACTAAGCGCTGCATCCGCTCGGCTGGCTCTGGCCTCCTGCTTGTCCCCGTTCCCTCCACCATCGGTTTGGAAGCTTTGGAACTCTCTCCCCCAATCCCTCTGACTTGGCTCCTCCTTTCCCTCTTTTACAACATGACTGAAGACCTTCCTCTTCGGTCACTTCCTCTACCCCCCCACCCAGCCCCCACCACTGTCAAGTACTCCGAGATACCACGTGAAGGGCGCTACATAAATGCAAATTGTTGTGAAAGAGACATTGCATAGGACATTACCTGTAGTATTAACAGCTCTCTCCTCACCCCTATCCATTGCACAGTTGGTATGAAAGATCCGAGCCATAATCAACCAATCCTATCCAGGACTCTGTGTGGTACTTCCTTATCGTTATGTCTCACCTGACAGCGCTGCGGCAGAAATCACTCCAATTACATTACTCTTGACAAATGTTGAAACAGATTTCAAAATATATTAAGAAAATTGGACAAGTCCTCTTGAAACTGCTGCAGAATACATCCCGTAGACTACACAAAGTCCCAGCGTAAAAGAACCCTTTAAACCAGCGAACCAAGAATACACTTGATGAATGGAATTTAATTAGCAGCTTTGAAATATAGCCCATTGAAAGACGAGGTTTAAATGAATATCAATGGCAAAAAAATGAAGTGCCTAATACAGTTTCTAGGCTGCAGATGTACATTACTAGTGGATGGGAAGGGGAAAAAGACAAAAAAAAACGCTCTCCGATCTCCATTGTGTTTAAAAAAAAGTTAAAGGAAATCAAAGGAGTTAGAAAATCTAAACAAAATGAAGGAAAAGAGTAGGGAAGCCAAGAAGAAAATAGCCAAGGTTCCTGCTCCCAACTACTATTCTCTGATGCAACTTGTGTGTGGATCTTGGGAAAGAATGATGTAATGGCTGTAATAATCCAATGGTTCAACAACCTGCCAACCTTCACACATGAATAACAGCTGAACAGACAGGCAAGACCACTTTGAAGTCTCATCCAAAGGACAGTACTACCAATATTACAATGCATTCCCTCGTTTTGTGTTGGAATGTTAACTGAGTTACAAACGTGAGTCCCTGAGTGGGGGTTGGTTTGGACCTATGACCCGCTGACCCACAGCAACAAGTCCTACCAGCAAAGCCAAGCTGACACACAAGCATTGAAAAGAGACGTCCAAAGAAATCTCCTACGTACAATACTAAAGGGAAGAGAAAAAGTTAACCCAGAACAATAAATTCAGAAATACTAAAGAAGTGGGCCAAAAGAGCAGAAGTTTAAGTCCCAGCAGCTACTTGTGAGAACTAATGATAGTGGAGGAGTTTTGATATGCAAAAGAACTGCATCAAATTTCAATTAATTGAAAAGACAGATGTTGCAGGATTACACAATGGAAATCCCTGAGTCAAAGATCATTCAGTCAGATTTAGTTTAAAAGACACCAAGCGCAGTCACTGTAGTGTAGTGGTTAGAGGACATCCCATGCAAGCGAGAGGACCTGGATTCGATTCCTGGGCAGGACAAATCATTAGGCAAGTTTCTGTACTCCGGACACCTGTTTACCTAGCAGTAAATAGGAACCCGAGAGTTAGAAGATTGGTGGATCCCTTTCACGGGGGTAATAATCATTCAAAATTTAAAAAAATTGTTCTCTTCAATCCACGACTGTTTGTGGGACGCTGCTGTGCACAATTGGCTGCCGTGTTTCGCCAACAAAATATACAGTCAATTCACTTTACAGTGTATTCTGTGAAGCGCTTTGAGACTTCGCCATGATGTGATGAGGAGCTATATTAATTGCGAGGGTTATTATTATTAGTACTGATTTCAGACTCACCGTATGCAGGGAAGTCACCGGGACCCGGTCCTGAGTAAAATGGCCCCGGAGGTGGTTGCACCGAATACTGCTGTGGGGGACCCACGTAAGGAGCTGCACTGGGGCGGAACTGTCAGTAACAGAGGTAAAGAATTTTTTTTTTATTACATTTATGTTATTCATTTCAAAGACCATTGACCATTAGCTGCACAATCACTTTTTTTTAATAAAAATTCTGAAAAGTACAAGGAGCAGAGAAGGTTAAAGGAGACTTAATAGAAGTTTTCAAAATTATGAGGGATTCGATAGGGTGAACAAGGAGAAACTATTCCCACTGGCGGGTGGGTCGGTAACCCGAGGACACCGGTTTAAAATAGTTGTTAAAAGAAACAGAGGGGAGGTGAGGAGAAATGTTTTCACACAGCGAGTTGTTGGGATCTGGAATGCATTGCCTGAAAGGGTTGTGGAAGCCGATTCGATAATTACTTTTAAGAGAGAAGTAGATAATTATTTAGGGAGGACAAGTTTGCAGGGCTATGGGAGAGAGTGGGGTTGAATTGGATAGCTCTTTTCAAAAGGCCGGCACAGACACGATGGGCTGAATGGCCTCTTTCTGTGCTGCATAATTCTATGATATTGAAGGAGGATTGAAAGATTGTGGACAGAGCTTCCGCTATTTCCACCCTAACTTCCCTCAGCAATCTAGGATGCATCCCATTCAGACCAGGTGACTTTTCTACTTTGAGCGCTGCTAACCCTTTAAGAACCTCCTTTCTATTTATTTTTATCCTATCCAATTTCTCTACCTCCTTTACTGTGACATTGTCAGCATCCTCTTACTAAAGATAGAAGGAAAGTACTCATTCAGTACTTCAGGCACGCCCTCTGCCTTTAGCCATGCCCGCTGAAGTTTTCCTTTTTGGTCCCTAATCGGCCCCACCCTTGCTTTGATCATCTTTTACTTTTTATGTGTTTATAGAAGACTTTAGTGTTCCCTTTTAATGGCCTCCTTTTCGCTATAAAATCTAACGTTTCTAACAGCTACCCCTGGAGGGTCTCTTACCGGGTTAGCGATGTAATACTGAGCCTGAGGGGCTTGGGGGTATGGCACAGGTGGGTTCATCATGATGATGGGCCCTTGGCTGGGCTGGTAGACTGCCGCCGTTGCTGTCTGTGCCCCAGGACGCATGGAAGGACTGTTGTTGGGGATGCTGGGCCGAGCTGCTTGCATCTGTGGCCTTGGGAAAAACTGGAAAACAGAATGAGAACGGATGTAAAACAAGGCAAACACTAACAGTCAACCACTGCTTACTACATAGCGACACAATAGCAATCACTCACTAAATAAAATCAGGTATATCACAACGGGTCTATCTATTTATTTAAGTGTTTAACTCCCCATAAAAGCCAAGATTCTCTTCTATACTTTGGTGCTTAAAACTCAACTGGTAAATCCTAGCACTAATTGGGTCATTAGTCCCAGATACGTGGAGTGTTACAGATACGACAACCTGCTCATTATGAAGCTTAAAGCCTTATATCTGGATGCTGGGTGGGGGGGAAGAAACAGTCTTATGCCTGCCTTCCCCATTAGAGTCACAGAACCCTTTAGTCATGCAAATAAGCAGCAATGCCAGAGATGTGCACTGGTGTTCATCGCCACATTCAAGTGATCCAAAAGGGACACCTGCCTCATCCCATGTACCCTGACCACCTCATCACATGTACTCTATACCCACCTCATCCCACGTACTCTATGCCCATCTCATCCCATGTACTCTATACCCACCTCATCCCATGTATGTACCCTACCTACCTCATTCCATGTATTCTATACCCATCTCATCCCATGTACCCTACCCATCTCATCCCATGTACCCTACCCACCTCATCCCATATATTCATACCCATCTCATTCCATGTACCTTACCCACCTCATCCCATGTATCCTACCCACCTCATCCCATGTACTCTATACCCACCTCTCATAAAACAGCTTCAATTAACATCTGAGTAGCTTGGTTGTAAAATAGGTTTTAAACAAATTGTCCACCCAAACTACTTTGTTATGAACTTCATTGAAGACAAATGGGTAGCACTCCTGTCCAAAGCACTGCTTGCCTCAATCTGCTACACCGGTCAGTGCAATCTTTAGCCTATACGCTTTACACCATTCAGTGCATTGCAATATTTAGCTATTGAATCCCTGCTCTTTGAAGATTATATAAACAAGTAGGTTGAGAAACAAAAGATTGAATTTGCGGTCAATTGGTATTACCTGAATCGGTCTGAATCCTCCCTTCAACAATGAAGCCATCAAAGTAGCAGAAAAGAGAGAAACCAATGGAACACCTTATAGATCAAGTCGGGAGGGAGACAGCAGCACATGCATTCAGTGTATAGATAGCCAATGAGTTGCCACCTATAAAATGCAACTTAAGTTTCCCCTCCTATATTATAAACCCAATTAATATCCACCCACTGCAGCTTTAGCTTAGGTAGACAAGCCATCCCCATGCATTGTGCAAATTGTTCACAAAGATCACCATCCTCAGCAGTGTGGCAAAGTTTGGAAGTTATTAAAGTTGAGGGTGGGAAATCATTGGCTGTGAATATAGCTTGAGTACACACCAGAGAACACATTTAGATTCCTTACACCGACCGCACTACAGAAAGCTTTCTCCCAAAAAATAACCAGAGGCCCAAAATGTCAGATTGGCGAAGCCTGAAGACAACTAAGTGCCTGAAAATGTAAGATACATACAGTTTTAGAACATTTTGCACGCTCTTAGATCTTTAGACAATGGCTTTAAAACAAAGGAATTTCAGGTTCCTGGAGCGCAAATCCAGTGAGTGGCTAATATGGTGGGATCCAAGATCTCGATCTGCCTGAGGGCAATCACAAGGAGTGTTCAAGGACAGATTTAATTTAAAATTCAGGCTTTTACCAATTCTTGTCTGAATAGGAAACTATCTTTGTAGAGCCTTTCTGAAGGTGAAACAGTCTGTGCAGGAGGGAAATGAAGCTTTTCCATTCATAAAGTGGTGCGAGTTATCCTCCCTTCCTCCGGTCAAAAGAAAAACAGTGCGGCTGCTTTAAAGTGCAGCCAATGCAAAACTAACCAACTCATTTCAATCAAAAACTGGATTCAATTTAGTGGTTCATCAAGTAATCTTGGACACACATCTCCCCTTGAAGTTCATATGTTATGGTGGACATCTGGCTCGTGGGACACTGGCTCTTTGACAAGCTGAAGACAAAAGCTGGAATCCGACAGGTCAGCAGTCAAAGGCCACGAGCCACAAGCCCAATGTTCCAGGTCCATCTTCTCTATTGAACTGGTGTAGGGTCGGGGTCTGGGACACTTATATGTAAGTCCATTAGATGCACTGAATATTGAATGGAATGCTAAACTGACTCCCATTGTGGACTTTCTGGTTAATATCTTTAACACATTTCCAATAAGCTGTTCAGAGATTACAGTCCTACCCACTTATGTTGACATATCAGGGACCATTTGAGTTTTGTAACGGCAGAGGTGGTTTGTCGACGTAGGCAGTCACAAGCGGACAATAAATATTTTGTGATTAAAATTTAGTAACAAATATTTACATGTATTTTCATAGATTTATTTTCAAAAGAAGACATTTAATTAAAATTCCTGAACCATTTATTTCTATGCATGTTCGTCACTTTATTTATAAAAAAATTGTTAACTTATTTACAAAAATAGTGATTTTAAGAGTATACGGACGACATGAGTAGTAATAAAACAAGACCTTTAGTATTGTTAGGGACCTAAGCAATTTGTTGACATAAAAATAAACTGTTTCCTCTGGCGGGTGGGTCGGTAACTAGAGAACACAGATTTAAGATAACTGGCAAAAGAACCAGGAGAATTTTTTTTACCCAGAGAGTTGTTACAATCTGGAATGCACTGCCTGAAAGGGTGGTGGAAGCAGATTTAATAATAGCTTTCAAAAGAGAATTAGATAGGAGTTTTAAAAGGAAAAATGTGCAGGGCTATGGGGTAAGAGTGGGGGAGTGAGACTAGTTGGTAACTCTATCAAAGAGCTGGTACAGACACGATGGGCCAAATGGCCTCCTTCTACGATTCTAAGTGTGCTAGAGTTTATGTCAACGTTACGATTTTAGTATTAATGTGCAGAGAAGGGACCTGGACTTTACATTTCTGCTATTATAAGCAGAATTTTGACATAAACAGGTTCAAGATAAGTGGGTAGGACAGTAGGAGCCATGTGGAGTAGACCCCTGAGCTAATGAAGTTGAGGCAAAAAGAACCAGGAGACAATGGGACAGACGCTTGGTTGAAATGTGATGGCATTAGGAATGGAGACTTAAGATGACCAAACCCTGTATAAAATGAAATGCATCCAGTGTTGCTAGGGTTTGGGGAAAGAGGAGGGAACAGCACCCATAAGGGTCACCAGTTGAATAAGAGACACATTTTACTAGAGGGGTTCGGGGAGGATCTGTGCAAGAAACTAAATTGCTGGGATAGAGTGGACAGTCTCTGTTAAAGGGCATTTCATTATGTAAATTGTATGTGCAGTACAGTAGACTACAAACAGGCCGAGTAGGGCTGTGGCCCCTTCAGGATTGGGAAAGAAAACAAGGCTGCATATGTAACACATTACTGCTGCGTTATATCCAACAAGTACCGCCCGTGAATAGCTCTAGGAAAGTAGTGAGAATCAGCATGCTTTACAAAGTGCCAGAACCATAGATCTCACACAATAGACAACTGAAAGAGACACACTCCTTTTTCCTCTATATCTTGCATACCCTTTTTTAAAAAAAAATCAATCTTCTAGTTTGCTTTTTGAATTGTGGTTATTCCTAATTGTTTAAGGCAAACAATAGAATAAGTATTTCAAAAGTAGTTGACTATTTCACAGCCACCTGTGCAGTTGCTGCTAGCCATGATTTAGGGTTTTGGATACCTCCACACACTTACTTACCAGTAACAGTGTATGAGTAAAAATAGAACGATGCACAACAAGGCAAGATTTTTTTAATTAAAAAAAAGTGAATTTATTGGAGATTTAAAAAAATTAGAAATAAGAATCAAGAATCAAACTTATAGTAAGGTGGAGTACTAGTAAGAGTATCTTTACTTGTGGAACAAATGGCTTACTCATTAAACGAGCTGGAAAGGGGAATGTATCTCTTCATATTAGTTACATTAAAGGTCTTGCCAGAAAAAACATTTTTAATCAAAGAAGAAAATGCAGAATAACTGAGTAACTCTGTTCTATTGGCAAGAGTCTTTGGATAAAGGCAAAACTGACCTTCTAACTTATTTTTCAACTGCTCTGTATTAGATATGGCTCCTATCCCTGTGGCTCGGCTTCAGGGCTTAAGACAATTGGTTTGAAAACTGAATGTACCGTTGAAAAATGAAAATCTGATAGCTACAGGAGCACTGCTATGAAAACATTAAGATCTGAAACACAAAATGGTTTTGCTTGCGGTTGCAAACCAGAGTTTGTGCTTTTTACACTGTATCCAGATTGCCCATCGTAAATAGTGTTACATGCACGCACACACAGTACAGGTGCCATTAGAGGAGTTATCTTTGGGGGGGGTGGGGAGCAGACCCTAAAAATCAGACAATTCTGCTGGTATTATTTGGCCAGCGCAGATCACAAACATGGTAGATTGCACAGGAGAGAATCCCTTTGGCCGAGACATCATTCTCACAGGTGCCTACATGCTCGAAAGCTTTTCGTTATAAGAGTCAAATCTCAACAAATTAAAAGTCAGGAAAACCAGCCACTTTATAACACTTGTTGCCTCTAGAGATAAATTGAGAGTGTAAAAGTAGTATTCACTGAGAAAGAGAAGAGAGCATAGGGCAGCATTTCAGATGTGGGTGCCGTTTCAACTCACCAACAGCAGAGTCATTGGTGCATCCCCCCAACTCCAAAAACAAACTGCTATTTGTAATCCTGCTCATTAGATGTCAAACATTCCCCCTTCTCCCAAATATTACTGTGGTGAACTAGAACTGGTAGATTGTGAATATATAAACAGAAGTCAATTTATTGATATTGATATTAATATTCAAGGAATTAATGCTTTAAGTGCATTTTTTGTAATTTAAAAATAAACTTACATTGTCCTAACTTATTGCTGAAATCTAAAAATGTTGAAAGAAAAAAAATCTTGTCTAAAAAATCTTCCTATCCTGAGGAAACAATGAATAACTTGGCCCTTGTTTAACTGTTGTCACTACACTTGACTAATTACCTGAGATGCAACGTTATAAAGCAACTGAAAATTGCAAGTTCTTTCCTTATTGCAAATGCAAAACAAAAATCTACCTTTTTTGAAAAAATACTCGGCCAAAATTGTACTATTAAGTTTTCATAGCGTGTGTTTCAGAAGCAAGATTTACAATTTACAATTCCTTAATGAAAAATACTCTCCTATCCCAATCTCCTCAGCCAAACCACAGCTCATTGAGAATGTATCACAGACAGAGGGAGTCGTCATGAATTATTAGCAGTAGAAAGGATTTACCTCACGGAGCGAGATGTCTGTCAGAGAGAGCTCACTGCTACCTTTTACCCCACATCTTTTAAAGCAAGGTTTGTGTTTAAAAAGCAAAATTATGCTAAAAAATGGCTTTGGAAAAATCAGTCTCAAATCCAAGCTCCCACACATTGTGCTAATGTACAGCTCGAAGTGGAATCAGGTGCAAACTTAGAAGTGATTCCTCGTGGTTGAAAAATAAATGTAGAAGATCACCATTACCTCCATTTTAGCCTTAATAAGTAGTTCCAGAAACACTGATCAAACAAATCCTTTGACTGAACGCCAATTGACCCTGCAATTAACAGCAAGGACTTCATTACCAACCTGCACATGGCTTTATTGTTTACATCCAATTGCAAAGCTATTTATGGCACCATAATAAATAAATTGCAGAAATATGCCTGTGGTGCTTTACATTGGTTAGATCAGACTGCAGCATTTCTCAAGACTCAGATAGCAGAAATAATGATACCTCGCAAGCTATTCCTCCACTAGCTTGAGCTCAGGTCTAAATTAAAATGAAGTGGGAAGAGATAGCAATTGAAAAAAAATCAGTCCATTAACAGGCACCTCAATTTAAATTAAACAGTAATGGAGAAGGGGGATAAGGGCTGATGGAAGCAAACAACACTGTTTATGAAATTTAAATACGTTTTTTTAAAAAACAAGTCACAGAAAGCCTAAACTTCTCAAATTTGTAAGAATTCTTCAATCCACTCTGAAGTCGGGCTGAAAGGCGGCTTCAAAATCAAGACTGAATTAAAGAATCTTCCAAAATTCTAAAGGATGTTAACATTTTAATATGTTGGAACGAAATCTGTGGTTTTCCTTTCGATTAACAGGTGTTAATGATCACATTAATTAGTGCTCAGGATGAATTTTCGCCTACAAAAACACAATCGCTACACCTTACAGTGAATCCCGTGAAGTACTCGAGACATTATGAAGTGAAAGGTGGTACATCAAAATGCAAGGATGACTACTTGGACAAACATTCTAAGCTCCACACTGAACCCGCTGAAACGCACTAAATGGCCAATAGGTCGGGTGAGGCACAGTGGAATGTCACACAGAATGAAGCAGGTGCAGCAAGCATTTTGGAGCTTCAGTTACTGAAGTGGATGGACAGCCAGATGATGAAATATCAGAGGCAAACGCCTCCAGTGCACATCAGGATTGGAGCAAAAGAATAATTACAAAAGGAACCTGAAATTCAAAGGGGTATTTCTTTGGCTGTGTATGCTATAATTTGGGGAGGTAAATCCTAACCTTCTTAAAACTCTTCAAAGTTCATACATTTTAATTGGCTGTTCCCCTCATTACCGTCTAACTCAAATTGACCATCAACAAACCTTTTTTAAAAAAAATAAGATTAATTTTTACAAGGGAAGGGTAAGATATAATTTTGGGAGAATTCAAATGCCCATATTATTACGATAGTACATTTACTCCTGGAGAGCTGAAAGCTTCTACAGATCATTTAGGATTACAGGGGCATGCTTTATATGCAATATTGGTGGGAGTAATAATCATAAAATAATAATAATTTAGTCACTCAATCCATGACTATTTGTGGGTTTCTGCTATGCCGTGTTTCTCCCACAAAATGTACAGTCAGTTCACTTTAAAGTATATTCTGTGAAGCGCTTTGAGACGTTTCAACGAAGTGATAAGGCGCTATATCAAATGCAAGGATTAATATTGTTATTACAGAATCCTACAAAATTAAGTCACAAAAGGGCAAAATGACAGAAAGCTTTATTTTGGAACATTTTACAAAGGAATATAATTGAACAATTTCTATCCTGCTCGGGGGGAGAAATTAATAAAAGTGCTGCAGTCTTCAGATGGATCAAATAATCCAATATGTGGACAGGGAATGAGTCATTGCCATCAAATCACAGCTTCCAGTCTCAAACAAGAAATATAGTCTACCCTAATTAAAATTCTCTAATGTCTGTTTTTGAAGGAGGGCAAGTGGACAGGAAATCATGGGTGCCACCCAGAGACAACTGACTGCCTATCTGGTCAGTCAGGATACCACCTTAGACTGTTGGCAAGGGTGAAGCTCCATTTTGTGAAACTGTTTTATCAAAGTGATTGGAACTACTGCTTAAGGCTTATTAAAATTGGCACAAAAAAACCTTGAAGTGTACAAAGTGAATTGGGCCAAATACCTGGTGGTGGGCTGTCCGAGGCCCTGCTGCAAACTGAAGAGAAGTGAGAAACACACAAGGGAAAGGCACACAGAGTCAGCAAGAACGCTATGACAGACTAGAAAACTCAAAGCACAAGCATTAAACCACAATTCTAATGTACTGCTACGTCAGGTAAATATCAATGCTTTCCACAATCAGAACCACAAGACAGGGTCGCCTTCAGCGCACCACCGATCTAGGTTGATTTTCTTACGCGCAGTTTAATTTGTTCAGTGAACTGTGACTTTTCAAACCTTTGATGCACATTTTTTCTCTCAATCAGAGGTTTAGGATTTGCATCAATATTCAGTGCACTAAGAAAAATAAGCGATTTACAGTGAGGAAGACACAGCCACACACAATGCAGTGAATAATGAGAAAATCAAAACCTTTCACATTTTGGTTTATTTTAGGAGGAAAGGATAGATAACAATTGGAAAATCTACATTTACAAAAAGCAAAATCCTGACAGGAAACGAAAATTGCAAATACAATGTAATTGCATGCAATGCAAGCCACTACAATAACTGAGTCCCGTGCCCACCTGTCACTAGTCTGAATTCCTGGCATCTAGCTTTATCCCCAGGAACATTCAGCCAATTCATGTCTGGCCTACTGATTTCAGCAGGGAGTAAAATGGGCTGAATGCTTCTGCCACAAGACTACACACTGACCCTCAGCTAGGAACAGCCAGCCACATTTAACACAAATAGGCAGATGTAGAAACACAGGCACGTCTCCCGCCCGACCCGCCCTACCATCGGTGGCCGGGCTTTCAGCCTCTATGCCCCCTCTGGAACTCCCATCCCACAGTCCATTCGCCTCGCTTCCTCCTTTGCCTCCTTCAAGGCTGGTCTCAAGACCCTCCTTTTTGATTGTGCCTTCAGTCGCCCTCCCACTAATCTGCCTTCCCTCACCCCTACCCCACCCCTCCCTCATGCTCAGGTCCTCTCCCGTGACTGTCCAGCGCCTTGGGACGACCTCCTGAAGTGTGCTCCATAAGCGTAATTTTGTTGTTGTTAATATTGTAGAGAAAGAGCTCCAGGGATGGAGGGAGTGAGGGAAAGGGCAGAGAGAGGAAAGAAGGGAAGGAGGGAAGAAAGAAGGAGGGAGGGAAGATGTTACAGCACAGAAGGAGGTCATTCGGCCCATCGTGCCTGTCCGGCCCTTTGAACGAGCCACCAATTAGTCCGACTCCCACCCCATGCAATTCTCATTTCAAAGCTACTATCGAAACTGCTTCCAAAATCCTTTCATGCAGTGTATTCCAGACCGTAACAACTCTCTGGGTAAAAAGAAAGCTTTCTTGCTTAAAATTAATTCAGTATTTTTTTTAAACAAATGGTTAAACATCTAGGGAGAATTTTCTTTCTGCTCCCTTGGCCCAGCAATGAAGTAGGTTCTAGGGGAACATTTGAGGAGAAAAACTTAAAACTAACTTTTAAGGAGATGGTACAAAGAAATATCTTTACAGATATAGAGGAAATGCTTGCCATAAAGCATTTATGCTTTGTTTTAAGCACTATTAAATTCTTTTAAAAGGGAATTAGACAAATGCTTGAAGAATAAAGTTAGCTGGCTCATGGAGAAAAACACGAGTGCAGACTTGATGAGTCAGTGGTTAGTTTCTGTGCTGTAACATTCTATCACTGTGTTGGTCACTGCACTGCACTCCATGCTTGACTCTTCACTACTGGGAAAAAAACACACTCCCTCCTCAACATGTAAGGAAGGTACTTTGAATGGAACGTATTTTGTCTGAACTTCTCCGTTCAATTGAAACAAAGACATTCAGCCCATCAAGCCTGTTAGCCAGTTTATCCCATTGTGGCAGATTATTTAAACCCATTCCACACTCATCTTCAAATCACTTAATACCCCAGCTTCCCAAGTACCCACCCCTATTACAATCCCGATTGAAATTGCATCTACAATTTTGCATCTACAGCATAAGAATATAAGAAATTCTAGAAGAAAAAAGATCAAGGTCCATCTAGTCCATAATCTGCATGTTGTCCCAAACTCACTGTCTATATTCTACAATGTTATTTCCTAAAAGAAAACTATCTAATCGATGATTGAAAGAATCAACACTTTCTGCTTCGACCGTCTCCCTAGGGAGCCTGTTCCACAGATTCAATATTCGCTCACTGAAATAGTGTTTGCATAGATTTGTTCTGAATATACCCCCCAAGTGTGGTGGGGCGCGTGTGTTCTACAGTCTTGCCTGTGTGAAGGTGATGTTGATGTATAATATAATAGTTAATCCAACACAGAACTTCCAACAATAAAACAAAAAGCGTGACAGTCTGCAATTTTAAAAAAAAGATTTAAAACATGGTTGATAAACGCACATTTCTAATTTGCCCAGTTTCTTGTCTGTGACCCAATTTCTCTGCACAGTCAGTGCATGCAACTGGCCCCAGCGGGCTCACGGACTGCCCAGCAATCATTCTATGGTGGAAAGCAGTGAAAGGAAAATGCATTACACCAAAAAGCAAGCCTTTAGCACCACAGTCATTAAATATAAAATGAACCGGGTGCTGTTGTGGCCACTCCCCCTCCCCCCACCCCCCTCAGGAGTAACATACCTGTCTAGTCTGCTGTTGCGGCGTCATTGTCTGTGGATTTTGAGAGTACACGAGCGGAGCTGCATTCTGGCCAGTGGGGAAAGCAGCCTGTGTGAGAGAGGGGGGCACATTTTATTAACTAAAAAGGAAGATGCCTGTTTTGGTTGGTGTAAAGTATTGATATTCACGTATATGGTATAGGTCAACAACACTTTTGAATAAATGCACTTTCATAACATTTACATATCTAACAATCGTTGAAATCAGACCTCGATTACCCACATCTAAACAGTCCGATTTACAGCTCACACACCCGCTGCATCGCAAGCGACTCCATGGCATAACCTCTGGTTTCTCCATGGAATTCCTTGACTGACCGGCAAACAGTCATAACACCTCAGATCCAAGCTAAGAATTCACAACTCTTCAACACAATAGAGGAGAGAGAGTGTCTTGTGAACAAAAAGAACTTATGCCACGAGTGGTTTTGCTGGCAACCAAACCACAAGAATTCTCATGCACCAAAGGCAATCGAGCTAATTTGCAGCAACTGTACGCAGATGTCCAGCCCTGCTGAGTAAACCACACAACAACTTCTTCCCCGTACAAAGCTGTACAACTCATGACATGCCTCTACAGGCATATTACATATGTTACTCAAAGAAAGATAAATATCGATTCCACTAAGCCACTTATTTTCAAAAGTACTTTCTGGTCTGTGCAAACATCAGCAGTTACTATGTATAAAGAAGCTGGCACAGTCACAGACACACAAACTGCACAGATAATTCAAACATTGTTAAACTTATTCCTGGGTGACTGAAAGAAAAGGCCGACACAGGCCACCTGAAGAAGAACGATAACTCCTGAAGAAAACGCCAGCAGGGAATCGGTATATCCTGAGAGCACAAACCCCTCGGGATCCAGGGTACTTGCTTACCAACGACTGATGCACCATTGTTGATCACTGAACTCAGCACCGGGGGTACAAGTTTGCAGCGCTCGTGGGAAGCAGATGGAATCCTTTTCCCTGGTCTGCTTAAAAAAAACGTTCCTGATATACCAGCAGAAAACACTCAGTAACCAGAAGAAAGTTTGTAAGCTCAAACCAGCTGAAACGCAGCACGACAGGGCAGCTTATTGAGAATACAAGAGATGTACAACAGCAATGCGTTGCTGTGGTAAAAGCTGATCCTGACTAAACCTGCGCTGCTCGATCCTTTCAGAGAAATCACATTAAAAATAGGTACTGTGGGCAGGATGATTCAGTGAAATTAAATATTGACAGAATGTACACAGTATTTACAGGATGTCACCAGCCTGTTTCCAGCACATGCTGTTACCATCCAAAACACTGTCCGCTATCACAACAGCCTTGCTGACGGACACGCTGTGATCATTAATATGCTGGCAGCTCGAATGGTCACATTGCTGTTCGTCATTCAGAAAGTTACACAAGAACATTTCGAGTCAACATATTACTCTCCCCAATAATCTTGGATGGACAAGGACTGGTCACAAGACACGAATGGGAACAAACTCTGACAACTCAAGCAACTCAATCTTATAAACACAGAATAAAGAAAATCAACTGACTGTTCAAAAACCTGCAAGACAACTACGGTCTGCAGGAGTAAAGCTAAGTAACTACTTTGTGGTTCGGGATGAGATATTACAAATCTGCTTCTGACTGCCTCTTTGGGAGGGCATTCAATCCACTTTGACACAAGTGTTTTTCCCACTGTCCTGGCCAACAATCCTCCAGATTAGTTGGTCATTCACCTCATAGTTGTCTGTAAGACTTTGCTGTGCTCAAAATAGCTACCACGGTTATCAATAACAATCACTGTAAAGATTTTTTAGATACAACACAAAATTACATTGCTATAGCGCCTTTCACTTGGGAAGGACGTCCTAAGGTGCTGGACATTCAGGGATTTGGACCCGAGTTGGGGGTTGGGATCAGGGAGGGCAGGAGGGTGGCGAAAGGCCCGGTCAAAGAGGAGGGTTTTGAGATATGCCTTGAAAGAGACAAGGAAGCGAGGCAAAGGGAACGTGGAATGCAGTTCCAAAGGATGGGGGCAGAAAGGCTGACCATCGATGGTGAGTTGGGCCGGGCGGGTGACTGCTGAGTGGAGGGAGCGGACAGGTTAATATGGGGTTAGCAGGTTGCAGAGGCCGGGAGGGGCAAGGCCATGAAGGCCCTTGAATATGAGGATTTTGAACTCTATTCTCTGGGGGATGGGGAGCCAATGGAGCCGGGCAAGGACGCGAGCTGCAGAGTTCTGGATGATCTGCAACTTGTGTTGGGAAGGCTGACAAGCAGGGAGTTGGCATAGTCGAGCATAGATGTGATAAACGCGTGGATAAGGGTTTTAGGCAGCCTGAGGGGTGAGGCAGTGGCGGAGTGATGTTGTGGAAGTGGGGAAAGGCAGAGCGGGTTATGGCACAGATTTGGGGTAATTGAGGTAATTGAGGGTCAAACAAGGTGCCAAGGTTCCGGACTGGCTGGGTGAGGTGGAGTGTGCATCCCACCTGAAAACCTTCCTCTTCAACCGTTCAACCGTTGCCACCTCTCCCCCTGCCAGTGTTAAACGCTCTGAGATGCTACCCGGCGTGGAGGGCGCTGTATAAGTGCAAGTTGTTGTTGTTCTTGCCTGAGGTGAGGAGACGCTGACGCTGACAAGCCTCGGTCTTGTTGACGTTCAACTGTAGAAAGTTAGGTCTCATCCAGGACTTGATGTTTGACAGACATTCTGTCAACACAGCAGTGGTCCTGGAGTCAAGGGTGGAGGCAGAGAGGTAGGAGTTGGGTGTCATCTACATACATGGAAGTTGATCCCATGTCTGCAGATGATGTCACCAAGAGGGAGCATATAGATATTGAAGAGAGGGGACCAAGGACTGAGCCCTGAGGAACGAGCACAAGATGGTGCGGGGGCTAGAGGAGAAACTGTTTCTGGAGATGAAGTGAAGACGTTGTGAGAGGTAGGATCTAAACCATTCAAGGACAGAACCATAAAGTTTGAGGTGAGAGGACAGGCGGTGGAGGAAGATAAGAGTGGTCAATGGTATCGAAGGCAGCAGAGTTCAAGGAGGGCAAGGAGGCAGAGGGAGCCCTAGTCACAGATGGACAAAATGTCATTTGTCACTTTGCTGAAAGCTGTTCCTGTGCTATGGGCAGCACGGAAACACGATAATAATAATAATCCTTGCATTTGATATAGCGCTTTTCACATCTTCTAGATGTCTCAAAGCCCTTCACAGGATATGGTGTAAAGCGAATTGACTGTATTTGTGGGCGAAATGCGGCAGCCATTTGCACACAGCAGTGTCCCATAAACAGTCGTGGATTGAAAATGACCAATTTATTATTGTTTTGTTTTTTGGAGGGATTATTATTAGGCGTGTGGAGTAAGGAAACTTGCCCAAGGTTTCGCCCTGCCCGGGAATTGAACCCAGGTGTCTCGCTTGCAAGGTGGGTGCTCTAACCACTGAGCTACAGGACTCCACGATTGGAGGGGTTTGTGAAGGGAGTGGCAAGAAAGAGCGAAGCTGGAAAGCAACAACTCGTTTCAGGATTTTGGAAAGGGAGGTTGGAGATGGGGCGGTACTTTGAGATATAGTAAGTACTTTTATAAGGAGTAGTTAGTCTGGTAAATGACCTATGGTTAAACTCGAACGAGTGGCCCACATTGCAGTCCCACGACGCAGTGAGATGTTCTCAGCAAGAGGGCACAGAGGATGCCAGCAAAACCATGGCATAAGTTACTAATTTCAAAAGATAATCTCCCATATTGGAGTTGTAGCGGTTGTTGATTGATTGGCGAATCGCTTTTCCAGGGATAATAATCCTTCAAAACATAATAATGATTTGATCACTCAGTCCATGACTGTTTGTGGTATCAGAGCTTTGGGACGTCCTCCCAACGTGAAAGGCGCTCTATAAATGTAATTTTGTTGTTGTATCCTGCTGTGCTTAATTGGCTGCTGCGTTTCACCCACAAAATATAGTTAATTCACTTTACAATATATTCTGTGAAGCGCTTTGAGACGTCTCAAAGACGTGATAAGGCACTATATCAAATGCACGGATTATTATAATTAGAGGAAAGAATAAAATAAAGTCCAGGACGACACAGACAACAGGGCGTTCTAACATATGGTGTAAATTTATTCATGATATATGTATTAGCAATACATACAGACGTGCAAGAGGCAGACCCTCTCCCTCAACCACCCCATTCTCAATGCTGACACCAGGAAGTCAGGTCATGCAGGAGTCCTGTAGCGTAATGGTTAGAGCACTCGCCTCGCAAGCGATAAGATCTGGGTTTGATTCCCGGCAGGGCAAAACGTTGGGCAAGTTTCCTTACTTCACATGCCTCCGTTTACCTAGCAATAAATAGGAACCCAGTTATTAGCCCTCTGAGTGCTCCCGGTTTAAAGCGCTTAGAGACGCCGTCCGCCATGGAGGGCGCTATGTAAATCCAAGTTGTTGCTGTTGTTATTAGTCGATTAGCGGATCACTTTACCAGTATTAATCCCTTAAAAAAAAGGGGGGGGGGGAAAGAAGAGAAGAGAAAGAAAACCCATGAAAACGTCACATCCAGGAAACTGACGTCAGCTGAGGAATGAATGATGTCTGATGCCAAGGTCCAAAGGAATGGAGGAAATGGTGACCAATCATAGGAGGTTAGGTTAAGAGAGAGTGAGAGAGTGAGCAAGAGAAGGACAAAGCTGTATTTCCTGCCAACTGGCAGTTAGATGGATTCTACTGCAACCCAGACAAGTGTGATGCTGTCATCAATTACGTTTCGGAAGACTGTTTTCTGAGGGAAGAAAGATTACAATTATCACTAAAAACTTCTGGCAGCAGGCAAGCATTCGGGCACAGAATACAGTAACTCATTCATCTGTAGCCAGCCATTCACCTACAAATAGTCACTCTGCTTCACAGTAAATCCTATGAATCGGGGCGTCCTCCCGACGTGGAAGACACTTTACCAATGCAGGGATGTGGTTCTTGAATTAATGAATGTGTTTTTTTCAGAGGTTCTGACAATCGTACCCACACAATCTCTCATTTTAGAGGTTAACGTGGAAAG